TGAGCCATACCATCACTAACAGAATTTTGCTGGTTAATTGAAAATAAGAGTCTCTCAGCTTTGTCAGTCTGGGTTGGCTTCATATCTTGAACCCTCATATCTCAGCCTCCTAAGTAGTGAGGATTCTAGGCATGAGCCACAAGGCCAATACTTTCTTAAAAGAAAAATGACTCTACTGAAAGGCGCATACATTCTCTTGGGAGAGCTTTATAAGGGAGCAGGAGACAAAGGATCGTCACCTTCCTTACCTGGAAATTTGTCTTGTTTTCTGCCAACCTACCAACCACACGCACATTCCAGCACAGCCCACAACAGTCAGGTTTTGGATCCCAACCAATCTGGTGTCTAAAATGGCACTACCAGGCCGAGAAGGAACAAGGCCCCACACCTGATGCCTGGCACTCGAGATGCTGCGGAGTTCCACTCACATGGACAATGCTTGGTTTTCAGGTGCCTCTTGTCCTATGGGTTCTGCTAGTGCCCTAGGCTGGACCCAGGCTGATCAGGGTCATGAACACCACTGAACAACTAAAGGGGCCCAGGACAAGTGTTGGAGCCAATATGGCAACCTGAAGGAGAAGTTAGTAGTTTCTTCTTTCCTTCCAGATCTGCCACAAAGACTCAAGGAAAAGGGAGCAGGTGGAGGGAACAAAGTCTCTGCCTGATGCCCTTGGTCCTTCCCACCCATGCTGCAGTGGAAGCTGCATCCGGGCCACCAAGGCCAGGCATGTTCCAAATGCTCAGCAGTGGCTGAGGAAGCAGAAAGGCCCAGTCCTCCATGTGAGCACAGGGGTGTTCTGAGCAGCCACATGATGAACTCCCACAGGCCTGTTGGGGGTGACAGTAAAGAGGGGGAAGATGAGCAGACAAGGATTCTCAGTGCTCTTGCTCAGGGATGGTGCTGCTCTGAGCGTGGCTTTGCCCATGTCACACCTAGCTCCTGTGAGTGTGGATGCTGTTCCCAAGCACTAAGAATGGGTGGTGCTGGGCTTCCCAAATCTGCCACTCTGGTTTGGACATCAGGTGTGACTGACTTGGGCCCAGGAAGGTTCATGTGCATTCCCCTCAGAAATACATGCTCAGGAACGAGGTGGAATTGCTAGAGCCCCAGAAGCATCTGAAGGGATCTCCAGGCACCCTGCCAGCTCCATGGAGCCCCTACCCCCACCCCAACTGGGCAGGTCATTGCTTATCTTCCCTCTTGTGGGGACCTCAAGACTGGCAGGCAGAGCTTCCCTTGTGTCAACGACAATGCTGAGTCTGCTGCTCTCTCAACGTGGTGTTACATCCTTTACCTGTGTCCATCCAGTTATCATGGCTTTGCTCATAGCCACAGGGACATCTACAAGGAGCACCAACAAAATCAATAGCATAAGCAGCCTGTTCCCTGGGGGAGCTGAGAGCTAAGGAAGGGGCAGGATGAGGCCCAGCGGGGAGGCTGTCACTCAGCTGTTAGGAGAGCACTTGGTGGAGGGCGTCCAGTGTAGGACAGGGTCCAGGGCAGGTATGGAGGGGCGCTGACAGCTGGGACAGGCAAGAGGATGGGCTCATGCCTAGCTCACAGATGGAGCCCCATCTTTAGCTCAGAGTGTCGTTGGTGCCACAATGTCCCCAGTGGGTGGACAGCTATGCATTAGGACCCTGGCCTGGCAGACCAACTGGTGTGGACATCTGCCTGTGACTCCTGGGAGGCAGGATGGGGTCAGGGGAGCAATAGCCAGAGGGGAGGCTGCAACAGGATACAGGGCCCAGATCTGATGCTCCTGCTAAGCCACCGGCAGGGATCAGGGAGCACCAAGGCCTTACCTTACCTGATCCACTGTCCAGTCCAGATGCCGTCGAGTGTCAGCATTCTCTAGTTCAGCTCCTTTTCCATCTCTTTGTCTTCTGTATTTTTTTAAAGGTCACATGTAAAGGTCACACTGCAAACACAGAGAACAGTAATTCTCTGGGCCATATCCCAGGAAAGCAAAGGGTAAAACCACTCGCTAGCTCTTTAAGCTGACACAGGCACTGAAGTGTTTCCATAGCTCAACACCAACGTCAGGATCACCAGATACCCACCAGATGTCGCTAAGGTCTCACATTTTTCTGGCCAGCGGCAAAGGCCTCCTTCGGTCAACAACTATTAAGCAACAAAGGGGGATTGTGCGTGGCACACAGCACTTTGTAGATAACAATTTCTTTCTCACAGTAGTGTTCTGAGGGGGATGGGAGGAATCTACAAAGACAATGAACAGCCTCAAGAGTTAGTTTTCATAGAAGTGAAACATTTTGTCTCTGCCTGTGCAGCATAGAGTTGGACTTGAAAGACTGAGTACCTTGGGGCTTTTGCCTTGAGGGGCAACAGTTACTTGTGCTTTGGTTGTACTGTGATTCGTGTCAGATAACAGCGTTGCAATTCACATTTTTCTTGTGGGATCCAGCTATGGAAGGGTCTGGAAGTCTAGGCTGACAGAGTGGTAGTGAAAAGTGTCCATACATCACTGCTGTGCTGGGTACTTTGCTGGTACCATGGGGTGCTGGGTAGGACTTGAAGAGGTCATTCCACATAGCTATCATAGAAATGGCTTGAAGCTTGGATTTAGATTTAGACTGTCATTATTTTGCTTAAGCCAGCACTGTGGGATAACTATACAGTAACTTTGACCCAAGCAAAATTCCAGAAATACATGAGGCTGATGGTGCATTGTTATCCAGCATCCACGTTAGACTTAGTGTAAAGAGAAGACTGTTGGTTACAATTCATGTCCAGTGAGTGTCTCAAACAAATATGCCCATGTCTGAGTTTTGGGTGTTCTCTTAGTTTGTTTCCTTCAGGATCTTTCTCATTCCTGTCAGTCACAGTTCCATCCTTATGATGAAATTTATTTATTTATTTATCATTTTTTATTCAATCAGTCATTAGGCTTGAAGGGCTTGGGCACTGTCCCTTAGCTTTTTCATTCAAGGCTAGCACTCTATCACAATGAGCCACAGCTACATATTGTTTGCTGGTGGTTAATTGGAGACAAATATCTCACAGATTTTCCTTCCCAGGCTGGCTTCAAACCAGGATCTTTAGATCTCAGCCTCCTAAGTAGCTAGGATTACAGATGTGAGCCACCAGCACCCGGCTCTTTTGATGGATTTTTAATTCCAGTCTTTCTCTATAATCCATCAGCAAATGACATTAAATCTACCCAGAATTATTCTACATCACACCTGTCCATCATAACCTGGCCAAAGTCACCATTGTATTTTGCTTGGATTTATTAATTTTAGTTGTACAAAGAGGTGTCCATTATACAATGCTTCTTGCTTGAATTTTTGGGATAGCTTCCTGCTGGGTGTCTTCACTCCTGCCTTTGGTCTTTAAGTTAGCCACCACAGTGATGGGGTCATTCTTTGCCTTCCGAAGGCTTCTCGTGGTTTTCTCCTTGTGTATGTGGGTCTCTAGAGTTCACTTTTAACAGTCATTTGTCATAGCAGATGATGATTGACCCTGATAACTTACTTTTAAATTTGATTACCTATTTAAGGATTATATTTAAAAGGAGTCATATTCCTAGATACTAGAGGTTACAATTGCAAGAGACAGAGAGACCAGCACACTTCCACCCACAGCAAAGACTTTCTCTGGCTGCCCTGTTGAAAGTGGTTTCATCCTTTTCTGGACACTCAACTCCCTTCCCTGCTTTAGCCTTCTTACTGTCTAATGTATGACTCCATGTTTTTCTTGTTTCTTTATGGTTTTTTTTTTTTTTAATCATGGGTTGAAGATCTATTAAGGAAGGGATTTTTTGTTTGGTTGTCTTCGCCTAAAATAGTACCTGCCTATAATAGATGGCCAACAAATACGTATATGATGAAACTAATGCAGGTGTATGCTAACTTGTTATTTTAACTTTAGTTCTTGATTTGTGGAAGAAAAACATTAAGCAAGAGCAATGTCAGTTGGGGGTGACCTGCCCAATCTTCCTTCCTGTGTGACTCTCAATTTTGGGAGGAGCTTGGGGGGGTCAACTCCCACAGTGGTGGTAACAATGGGAACAAAGACTGGGTAGAATTGCTCAGTGAGTTTCTATCTCTGCTCCCAGTGGTGTGTGCGAGGCTCTGCCATTCCTTTCACAGAAAGGCCAATTCCTAGGCATTGAGAGCCTCAGAAAACTGGTGTGCAGCCACCATTACCTTTTCCCACATGGACAAGCATTTTACCAGTCAGGCGCTGCACAGAACCATAGAGCTGATATACTCCCCAGCACACCGGCCGATGGAAAAGGTAGCTCACAAAGAAAGAAACGTGCAGGGAGACTGCTAGTCCGCTGAGGCTAATTCTGGGGAGCAATAAACCACTGCCAGATCTCAGTGGCTTTTCATGCTGATGCTTACTTCTCTCTCAAGTGATACCCCCTTGCCAAATTGAAGCTCTGCTCCACGTGGCCTTAGCTCCAGGTCCCAGGGTGATGGTGTCATCTAGACCTGGAAAAGTGTGGGGCAGACATGGTCTGCTTTGCAACAAGCCCCATGGGTCATGTGGCCCTGTTTCCCCCTGAACAGAACAAGACACTGGCCACTCCAGAACCTAATGGGATGAGACAGGAGATCTCCCTGCAGGAGGGAATACCGCATGCCCAAAGCTTGCTTGACCAGGACTGGCAGGATGTAGGAATGTCTGTAGGGAGAGATGGAGGACATTCTGCACACTGACTGGTGCTCTGGGCTACGGCAGTGCACACACAGCCAGGGTTCCTGTTTGGTGGGCTCCTGGGCCTCAGGGCCTCTATCCTGGCTGCAAGGTACCACCATAGTGCATGGCGTTTCTCTCCATACGTTACGCAGGTGGAGGGAGGTGGGACGGTGGCGGTGAGCACAGGGGCAGTGGGTAGGCTCTTTAATGCCACTGTGCCAGCTTCCTGGGAATGTCTGAGAAACCCTTTCATCCACTTGCAGCTCTTCTGGTGATCAAATGACCTTCGAGTTCCAGAAGCCAAGCAAGAAGAGACGAGACAGGAAAACAGTATCTTTAACATAGTCTTATATTTGGAAAAGCAGTTAAAAAAAAACACTTGAAAATACAAGATAAGGTAATGCTTACTTATATAAGTTTTAACCTTATATTGCTTGTCCATTTTTTACATATAAATTATTGCTTCCTAGCTTTGATAAATACACAGCCCAGTCATATATACAGAGGCAGAAAGCCGAGAGATGACAAAGGAAACACTGTTAATGGCAATTCTGGTAATTCAACGGACGTTTCATATTTACCAGTGCGAATAATGGTGGAAAACTACAAGTGTAGTCCCTGAGAAGTTAGGTAGATATCCCGACGGCGGGTTTCCTATCATCTAAGTGTTAATGCAAGCTGACAATATCACAGCAGCCCTAAGTAATGGTACATTAAAAGGCAAGATTCCTTGCTTCTGGTCATCAATTTCATCCCAGTATTTAATAACAGTGTGATACGAATACAATAAATAGGCTATGCAAATAAATATTACTCTGCTAGAAAATGTTTCATATATACAGCTTTGCTTTACACAGTAGCTCATTTTCATCTAACTTTTTTTTTTTTGGCAATTAAAAAAATCTTTTCTCCTCTACAGTCTGAAGTGAAACAGGCCTGCTCAAAGGTGAGCGAGCTGAAATTTTAAGGACATATCTTTGCAGCAGTGAGAAGAAATCCTGCATTGAGGGAGGGGTTGCTCTCCCAAATGTTAATGTTTGTGCTCCATTTTAGAGAAGCTCAGTGGGCCATGCCGGGTGATTCAGCAAAACTGCAGGGCTGTGAATGAAAGGCTGGCTCTAGGGTGCAGCCCTCCCCCAGCACCCCCTCTCCCCCACTCAGAGGCTGTTGTGTTTACCCTCATGCCTTTGAAGTCAGGGCATGTGCCACGCTACCTGCTGTGTAGGTAACTGTTCTAGAAAGTGAGTTAATTCCACATATAATTAAGGATACTAGAAAAGTGTGAGTGTAGTCATAGTTCACTGAAACATCGGGGCACTGTAAGACCGTGACAGTGAATGTCTAATATAGTTTATGGGACATAAACTATATTTCTGTAATTTATTTAAAAAAATTTGAGAAGGTTGTGATTCTGCCTATAGGAACGTGTGTTCTGCTACCCTGTACTAACTTCTAAGCAAGGCTGGCTTATGTACTGCAATGCTCACGGATTCAAAGAGCCCCAGCACTGTGGCTGAGTTGTGCTGTTCACAAAGAACATCTGTGGAGGTGCGAGGTCACTGTCTGCTGATGAAGGTGCCATATCACAGAAGAGTTTTGAAGCGAATGGAGATTTTATGCAATCACTAAACTCCAAAGAGACAGAGAAGAGAGCTCAGACACCTCATAGTCCATCCATCTACTAATTGGAAGAGAACCAGGTCTAAGAGGCCGTGGTGAGCACCTGCAAAGGACTGGGGCCTCTACCCACTGCTAGGAATGTTCTAGTCCTATAATACCCATTCAACGTCAGCTCAGACTCCTCAGAAACAGCTTCCTATGGTACAAAAGCTGGTTCCCACAATTCTGTCACAGGTTAAGACTCCTCAAAGCTTCTAAAATTTCTGAGTTTGTTGCCTGGAAAAAGAATCTCTAGGAAAACAATAGTTGAATTTCAGAAAGATGTTGAGATTTCGACATTCAGAAGACAAAGATTAAAAAAGCAGATCTAAACCAAACAAAATCCCATTTTCCTTTTGCTTTGGAAGAAAGGGTAGCTAAGTACCCCTTCCTCTCTGGCCATTTCCACTCATGCTACATGGGATGGTCTGAATAGGTAGTACAAAATGTGCTTTGACATAATGTATGGCTGTATTTGGTCAAGTGTACATATTGGAATCTAAGTAACAGGTATTGAAATAGATCTCCACTCAAAACTAGTCCTCTGTAGATAATGTTCTATTTGGTGTAATGTAGATCTAATGTGAAATTAAATTTAAAAATCACAGAGACAAGGCTGAAATGTCCTTACATAGTTACGCTGGCTAAACCCTAGTTGCTAGCTTGGAGAACAGACACAAACAGGTGTTGGCATTGCTAAGAGGAGGGATTTTTAAGTGAAGTCTGATTCTGTGGACTCAAGCCCTCTAGCGGGAGGAGCATGAAGTAGTTTTTACAAGTAGACTAGCCATGGATGGAACATTTCTATAAAACCCTGTAAGATTTCAGGACTCCAGTTTTACATGCTGGACAAGACTGAGTCTTTTTGAAAGTCCTATACCACAATATGTCTGCTTGCTTCTTTCCCACAGAATCTCAAGTTCACTGTGGTTCCTGAGCCCAGGAAACAGCACTGCTATGAAGATGTCAGAAAGGCTAGGAAACTGAGCTCGGTAATGAGGCTGAATGAGGTGTTGGAGAGACACAGGCAGGTCGGTGCAGGAGCCCATTAGATGAACAGGCAGAAATGTCAAGAAGCACGCACGCTTCACACGTTTGCAGCACGAATGGACCGAATACATGAAGTAGGGGGCTGCGGACTCAGCAAAGCAACAGGTGTCAAGCTAGCAGAGACAACTGGCTCATTTCAACCACAGGCTTTTTGTTTCTTCGATGGTTGAGGGAAATCCTCTAACCAGTCCTTGAGGACAACAAGAGGTCTTAATTGCTGTAAGAGGCTTAACTGGTACACATGGGATAGTAAAAAAGATTCAGGAGACTACGCGACTCTGGGAATTACAGCAAGGCTCTGCTTTGGTGAGCGCATGGACTAGGCTCCAACACAAATCGGACATCTGAGTGTTTCTGAGAACATCTGCCAAAAGATGGATAATCTCTCCCTTTTTCAGGGGTGCTAAGTTCTGCCCCCAGCCTAGCCTCCCTTGTTGGCAGCGTTCTTGCAGGCTGGGGGAGTTGCCAGCAGGGAGTTGCCCATGGCGTGGAGGTGCTGAGGCTTCCTCAGGAAAAGGCTCTGTCCTCTCCACACACAGCTATTGAGTGCCCAGTATATCAGGCTCTGTGCTTTTCTGAAAATCATACTGTGCCTAGGACAAACAAAACAAAATGTGCACTTACAAATATAAAGGAAATCCCCAGAAACTAAATAATGGGATGTCTCCTTATTGGGAAAGCCACTTTACTCTACTTTGTCTATTGTTGCAAATCAGCTGAACAGAAATTAATTTCGCCTGCAAGCATTCATTGCTGTGTGATTGAGAGCATGAAGTGCACGCTTGGGCACTGCCCACCTGCTGGGCAGGCAGGGCCTGAAGGACAGCTGCGTGTCTTCTTGACTCTAGAGGTGATGCAGAGTTTACGCCCCAGAGGCCTCTCCCTTTCCCTGGACAACTAGAGATGCCGTCATGGTCATCATGTTCTCAAAACCTGGCAGCCTGTGGACAGGAGTCTGACACAGGCAGACTAGAACTCCTTGCTCCTGCAAGCAAGCTCTGACTGAAGTATTTGTTCACCCTGTCAAGATGCCCTTCCTCCTCTCCCTGCTGGTATATCTCAAGTTGAAACACAGATGGACTGGATCTACAACATGATGGCAGGACACCACACTCCTCCATTCTAAGGATGCTCCTGGCTCTGTTCCTCCAGTTCTGACAGTCCAGTGGAGGGGCCTTTCCCGGGTCTGGCGGCTGATGTCACTTCCTGACCCCGCCTTGGTCTCCTTTCCTGGGCACATCTTAGAGTTTACTGATAAAACTCAGCCACTCCTTTCCTCACAGGAAGCAATGTGCTGGGCGGTGGCCTTCCCTTCCATTCACTCCAAGCCAGGCGCTGCGCAGTCAGAGGGGGATGGGCGGGCGGCTCAGGCCCGGGGCTCCAACCTGTGGGAGAGCTCAAACAGGGCCTGCTGGCTGTCGATGACATACAGGTGGGTGACGTAGGACTTCAGCTCTTGGTGCTCCTTTGGGGACACATCGCCTCCTATGTGTTGGAGGGAAAAGCAACAATCAAGCTCACGTAGGCAGTGGTGCTATCTCTAGGAGCGGCAATCCCCGTGACTTCCTGGTAGATTCTCCCAACTCAGAGTCCCAAACACGCGGCACACCCTTGTCCTTCCAGGAGAAATGCTTCCTCAGCACAAGTGAGCCTGCTGTGGGGCAGTCACTCTGGCTAGGCACTAACAGTCTGTGCTGTTAGGAAGTCCTCCTCCTATCCCTCTCCACCGTGGGGAAACTGGCACAGCCAGGCCCCGTGGTTCCTGGGCCCAGGGCTGGAGCCCCACACTGGCCAGCCTTTCATAGCAGTTGTCTGTGTAAACAGCCTACACTGGCTTGCATATCTCTGGGTGCAATCAGATCAACGGTTAGCACATGGTCACAACAGCGGGTTCTTTAAAATGTTTTAAGATCTGTACACTTCTTTAATGTTATTATTATTTGAGGGGAAACATCAGGAAACAGTTGAAAGAAGAGATGCCAGAGCGGAATCTAAGATACAGTTGACAGGCAAAGAGGGCTCAGGAAGAATGTGTGTGTGTGTGTGTGATGAACCCTTTCCAGAGGAGGACAAGCAAAGGAACTTCCCACTTGGAAATGCAAGGAAATGTCAAAGAAATGTGGGGCCTACAGAGACTGCAGAGTATTGTGTCCATCAGAGATAAGTGCGTGGGCAAGGGGCCACCCAGTGGGAATGGGGCGGGGTGGGGGGAAGAGACTATAGACGTGTGGGCGGCTGGCTCTCATCCCCTTGCTTCTCTGAGGCTCCGGCAGGGTATGACCCTGGAGCTCAGGCAGAGCCAAAGCAAGGGCACTGCAGGATGCGGAACGTTTTACTACAACTTTATTTCTCCTGGTGAAAACCTTTACTTCCCTCTTCTATGTTGTATGAAGAAATAATTCAGCATTTGTCTGAATTTGGCTTATAACTGTTGGGTTTAATAACAACAGGCTTCGTGGTTTCAGCAAATAAGTTTTTACTATGACCCCAAAACTCTCTATTATTTTAAAATAAGAATGCATTTCTGGAAGATATTAAGACCACTGCTTTTGGTTTGAAACACATGATGGCTCTAGCTTGCAAGCAGTAGAATGATGGTGGGGGAGCCGTCTCACCATAACTTAACCCTTCATGGCACCTGTTGGTATTACTGGCCTCATTGGTATTACCTTATTTTATCCTAAATACCAACTCTGGATGCTAGGCCCATATACACTGTTAAAATAAACTCCAAAAATTCAGTTTTATACCAGTTTTTTTTTTTTTTTTTACAATTTAAAAGTGAAGTACTTTTTTTTTTTATTGTGAGAATATCGTACAGAGGAGTTACAATTACATGAGCAAGATAACGAGTACATTTCTTATCAAGCATTGTTGCCTCCTCTTTGTTTCCCCTTCCCATCCCTTCCCAAAATCCTTCCCTCCCCCCACCCGATCCTCCCCCCACCTCCCACCAAAGTTGTAAAGTTCGTTTTTCGACATAATGACTTGTACATCTCATTGTTGTAATGGGTCCACCTGTATCCCTAGTTAAACGATTTGTTTTTTTTCCTTCCCCTCCACAAATTATACCAACATCAAATACAGTGAAAGTATGGGTTATACTGTGGGGGAGGGGCATACAAAGCAACATAGAAATCATCTTATAAATATGATAGAAACAGTTGCATGAAAGGAAAAAAAAAAACATGTGAATACTTATCTTGGGGTTCATTCCCCTAACATCAACTTATCTGACCTTTTCTGCTTGACTCAGACATATACTAGTTATTGCAAATAAGGGAAACCATGGACCTATATTTCTTTGGGCCTGGCTTACTTCACTTAATATAATTTTTTCCAAGTTTTTCCATTTCCTAACAAATGGGGCACTGTCATTCTTTCTTATGGAGGCATAGAATTCCATTTTGTATACATACCACATTTTCTTGATCCATTCATCTACTGAGGGGCATCTGGGTTGGTTCCATATCTTAGCTATGTATACCAGTTTTTTTTACAGGTATATAAATACTAGAACATAAACTGGTTTGATAGTTATTTAAATTTTTCCTTGTGTTATATAGATTCTCCTTTGGTGAAGAGATTCAAGGCCAGCCAAGTCAGTACATATAACATGAATATATAAAACTAGAGTCCCTTGAATGAGCTGAATATCCTGTAATCCCCTGGACATCAAGAAAGGTGAAGTCAGACTCATCATCTTGTCCATCTGGATGGAACTCCAATGACGTTATTGTTGCTATTTATATCTGCATTGTATTGCATACTTAATGAATTATATAGGTGTATATCAATGGTACTTACATGGTACCAAATAAATGATAAGTGATATGGATATCTATAAAATTAGATCATGTGTTTATTTATCTATTTATTTTTTTGTCGGTTGTGGGCCTGGGTGCTGTCCCTGAGCTCCTTAGCTCAAGGTGAACACTCCACCACTTGAACCACAGTGCTACTTCTGGTTTTCTGGTGGTTAACTGAAGAGTCTCACAGACTTTCCTGCCCAGGCTGGCTGGCTTTGAACTGTGATCCTCAGATCTCAGCCTTCTGAGTAGCTAGGATTATAGGTTGAGCCACTGGTGTGCCAGGCTTGGTCATCTATTTATAATTCTCCTTTTCAAACAGAGAACTTTGGTTAGGCGCCAGTGGCTTTTGGTTGATTTATAATTCTTGAGCTTGATGGTTTATTTTACTTTTGTGCTCATCTTTCATGGCTGTGACTCTGAGGTGCACAGTTGTGCTTGGCACCTCCGGGGCTCATGGTCCCCCTTCACTAGGCTGCTGCAGGACTCCGCTGCCCAAGCAAGCTCCCCATCTCCGTCCTTCCTGCAATACGATGCCTGGAATACTCCTCAGTGTGGATTCTACCAGTGTGTTCTGAAGAGTACTTTTTTAGCTGAAAGGCAGCTGTGGACAGGAAGTACAGCTGGAGAGAAGAAAGATGATGGAAGGCTGCTTTATAAAGTAGAGTCCTATTCCAGGAAGGCCCTGACGAAAGAGGTGAGGGCAAGGACAGAGTCACCTCAGCTAAACTCCCAAGCAGGTCTGGAGTGGTAGGCAAGTGAAGCCAAGATTTTCAGGGGCAGGGCTGAACCAGGTAGGAGGGGGAGCGAATAACTGACCACAGTCACAGCCAAATTGCTTCTGCAAAGGGGTCATGTTTTGGCCACATCTTGTCTTTCTGACCATCCCAAACAACCATTGAAGAAAGCCAGAGCATAAAGCATGCACACCTTATTCCTCAGAGTGATGTTGTATGCGCTGTTTAAACTTGTGACCACCCAGCACTTGGGGTTTGGTGACAGTTAACACTCACACACAGTTGATTCACATCCTATACCTGCTTTCAATTACTTACCAAACTGGTTAGCCCTGCAGTGTCTCAGGGTTCTGACAGTGTCTGCAATCATGTGCTGAAAGGTAGAAAAGAGCCCATTAGTCAACAGTCCCTTAGGTGTTGCTAAAGTAGCAGTGCCTGCTGGGATGGATGGACAACCTAACACTTCAGGTATAAACCGAAGACCCTCCCCGGCCCCCGGAACTGCAGATGATTTTTAATTGGTTATACAGAGCTTGGACTACAAACAAATATTTACTGGGTTCCACAGATTCTAAGTCCTGGGAAAGGAGACTGTAAGTAAACATAGCCCTGCACCAAACCTTCTGACCACATCTCCTGTGCTTTCCCTGCAGGTGAGAGCAAAGTCTCTGTACAGTGTAAGATCAATCATGTACCCCAGAGAGCCTTGCAAGCCCAGTGCTTGACACGTGGCACACACATGGCACAAATTTTGTGGGCTTATATGGCAGCAGGAAGTGAGGTACTTATGAAAGAATAAATTCCTATAACACTGACATCTGCACAAAGAATGTTTTCTGCTTATGACTGACTATCCTTCCTACACCTCTTTTGATTGCCAGGAAAAAGTCTTCTGAAAACTGCAGCTGCTTTGGAGAAGATTCCCTCCACCGCACACTCATGCATCTGTGCCACAGCCTTCCTTCCACTCACTCTTTGCTTCTTTTCCACAATGATGATGTTTTGTTTTGGTTTGTTTTTTAACCTCTTGTTTTGGTGTTTGGTCTTTTCTGGGTTGAATTCAGGATGCTGCACTTGCTAGGCAAGCGCTTTACCACAGAGCTACCACCCAGCCCTGTTTTGTGTTTTGGAAGAGACCACTTTCTACTATACTTTCCCTCACACACTTGCCAGACAGACAATCTTTAAATACCATGGTCATTATGTTCTAGCCCTCTGGTGAATGAGAGCAACTTCTGACGTGGTTTCAGATTGAAATCCATGTCATTCTATTATACAAGAGTCAAGCTGCTCCTGATCTGCACCTCCAGACACCCCCATCTTTCCAGGGGCTCCTGTACTTCACATCCTGCCTGTACACAAGGACCTAGGATCAGCCACCAGAAGCAAGCCCTCATGATTACTGCTGACAGAACAATGCTAACACACACACACACACACACACACACACACACACACACACGCACACACACACACACAAAACCTTCTGCTTAAAATCTGGCAGGATGACAGAAAAGCTCTTCAAATATGACCCACTGATTAAATTGTTCTCGCAACTGGGCTGCTAATGTACTTCTTCTCAATAGTGGAAAATTAACAGTGATTACAGCAGCAACCCAAGCAACATTTGTGAAGGAAATGAGACCTGACTCATGTCTGCGCAAATGTATTGTTCCATTTCCTTCCCCACATTTCACCCCTATTCCCAGGACACCTTGCTCCTTGTGTGGGGCTGTGGCGACACACTGATTTCTATCATGTGCCAGCTCAGGCAGGGCTGGAGCTGATGTGAGGGTGGGTCAGTGCACAGTGGCACTGCATTCCAGTGCTGGTTCCTATCCTTGGGCTTTCTGTGGGGAAGAAGGGCGATGCTCTTTATAGTAAGATGGCACTTTTAAGCAAAGGGAAGCTCTTTGTTTCCCTGTCATTTACTAGTCTGGTATGAGAATACAGAAAGTTGTTGAGGCAGCAATGAACTTAGCCTGGGGAACAAGAGAAATTTTATGAGACCCACTGAGTACTTCTGCATGTGCATGCAGTCTGCTTTAGTGCATTGGCCAGTGTCAGCTAGATGAAGATAATACACTGAATTATGTGTGAGCTGGCTTAAGTTTATATCCATCATGAGGAACTTCCTTCTCGCAAGTGAATTCACTCCGATTCTATTGGTTTGTGTTGGTGAGCCATGGCCTTGTATGAGCACCAGAGAAACCCTATCTTTAGCAAGGAATGGCCTGACACTGCTCCAGGAACATCAGTTTCCTCCAGCCTGAAGGTCAGCACAGGCCGTTGCAGGATGTGAAACTGACTTCTGTCCAGGCCTCTGTGTGGAAGGGACAGCCTGGGGCACACGAGACCCGAAGGCCATCTACTTGGAGAACCAGGAAGTCACCAGACATGCTTTGCCTGTTCACTGCTGTGCCATGCACAAGTGCACCTAGTTCCTTATCCTGGAATTTCCTTAACCTTCCTTACATCACTGACTTCAATAAGATCACTATTATTTAGACTTTCTGTTAGTCCCTATGGCAGGCTGGAAGTCTCAGCCCATCAATGCACACTTGTAATCCTGGCTCCTCAGAAGTGCCAAGAGGATGACAGCTGGTGGCCAGCCTAGGAAGGAACGATTAAGCTTCTAAAAATTGTTAAGATTCTATCTCAAGAAACAAGCCAAGCATGGTGGTCATGTCTGCAGGTAAGAAGATTGTAGGTCCGTGCTGCCCTACGTATACAGCGTAAGTGGTAGAGCACATGTGTAGGCCCTAAGTTCAATCTCTAGTACCAACCAGAAAAAAAAAAAAAAAAAGAGGAGGAAAAGGAATTAAAAGGCTTCAGCTGGATTTCTGGAGAAAGCAGAAAAAGGTCACATCTATGGTGGATCTAGAGAGGGTGCTGGAACTATTCCATGGCTTTTCCCCATGGTTCCTGTAAGGAATTGTTCTTACTCTGGTGACATTCACTGACGGGAAATGACAACATGAACTCACGTTACTGGTTCAATGTAGAGAGAAGGTTGGCCACCAGCCTGCTCGGAACAACAGGGAAGAGTCAGCTTGAGAGTATAATTATCCCCCCTGGGTCCCCGTTGGTCAGAGGGAAGAACTTATTAGACCTTCAGGAAGATTCCACTAGGCTGTGGGATACACTTTACCCTGAATCTTCACACGTGCTCTTGGAAGCTCACCCACCTGCACTGCCCAGGAGGCTGAGTAAATAGCAATCAAAGCTTCATACTTCTGCAAGCCCTTCATTACTACTTAACACTAGTGGTGAGGGCTGGGAATGGGCGACTACAGCCTCTGCTGGTAAGGGGAGTCCTGCAACGTGCAGGGCACCACAGAGCCACACCCAACAAGTTCCCAAAAGACAACACTAGCCATGTCTAAAGGCGGGTTAGATTGGCTTCTACAACAATCAACTCTGATTCTAACACAGTGTAGGTAGGAGGCATTTTAAAAGTTACTGACAGGGCTGGGAAGGTGGCTCAGTGGTAGACCGCTTGCCTTGCATGCCTGAGGCCCTGGGTTCGATCCTCAGCACCACATAAGCAAAAAGAAAAAAGCCGGAAGTGGCGCTGTGGCTCAAGTGGTAGAGCACTAGCCTTGAGCTGAAGACCTGAGGGACAGCGCCCAGGCCCAGAGTTCAGGCCCCACGACTGGACCCCCAAAAAAAGTTACTGACATTTCCACGTCAAGATTAACTAGGCCGGAAGGCATCTTCACAGTGCTTAAAGGGGAGCTATGGAAAGACAGGGGATGATGTCCCTCTTTGAGCCCAGTCAGTGGGGTGGGGAGCTGTGTGAGAGCAGCTGGGCTCTCCCGGCATTTTCTCAGCACACGGGTGAGCTGGCCTGATGTTTAGAGCAGCACGTGGCAGAGGCAAAGGTTAGACGTCAGCCCTCACTCGACTTGTCCGTACTGTTCTGGTCATGGTCAATGGCTCCTGCCTCAATCCAGCTTCTGTCAAAGGCCGGCCCTAATCTCATAGGGAGCAGGGGTCAGCTCCTGAAAGGGCTCCCCAAAGTCCATTCCCATGACTAGAAAGGCCATTCAAAGGTCTGGATCCCTGGAGTTGTGTTACTGGGAACATATTTAGCCATGACAGAACAATTCAATCATCTGTGACACTAAAGTTCATCTGTCAGAAGGATGTCTGTCTCTCTAGAATATCCTATATTCCAGCCGCTTAGCTCTGTAGGTAAGGACAGGCCTGAAGGGGTTAAGAGGTCACTGCAGGTCAAAGCCCCTGAGAGAACCTAGGCATTCAGGGTGAAATATGGCAAGACAGACTGGGGTCCCCAACACATGAGCAGGGAGGCTAAAAGAGGGGACAAGGGGACGGCTCTTCCCTTTACATGCAGACCCTACAAATCCCAGTGTACATGCAAGCTCAGGGCACAGACACACTTCCCCCAGTAGGTCTCTCTCCCACAGTGCCTTGACAGCAGTGCATACAAGGTATCAGATTCTACCTTCGAAGCAATAAAGCTCAGTCTTGAGGATAAACTCCTGACAGGAGGTTTATGTTTTTAATTTTAGTTCCATAACACACATTCAACTACTAATGCAGTCTAAGGAAGGGGCCTTGGGGTGTGTGTGTGTGTGTGTGTGTGTATATGTGTGTGTGTGTGTGTGTGTGTGTGTGTGTGTGTGTGTGTGTGTGCGCGCGCGCGCTGGGTCCTGGGACTTAAACTCAGGGCCTGGTGCTATCCCTGAGCTTTTGTGCTCAATGGTAGAGCTCTACCATGTGAGACACAACTCAACATCTTTTTTTGGTGGTTAATCAGAGATGAGAGTCTCATGGTCTTTCCTGCCTGGGCTAGCTTCTAATCACGATCCTCAGATCTCAGCCTCCTGAGTAGCTAGGATCACAGGTATGAGCCACTGGCACTCAGCTTGAAAGGCCACTTTAAAAATTAAAGTGGGGGGCTGGGAAGGTGGCTCAGTGGTAGAGTGCTTTCCTTGCATGCATGAGGCCCTGGGTTCGATTCCTCAGTGCCACATAAGCAGAAAAACACAGAAGTGGCGTTGTGGCTCAAGTGGTAGAGTGCTAGCTTTGAACTAAAGAGCTGAGGGACAGCACTCAGATCCAAGTTCAAGACCCACAACTGACAAAAAAAAAGGTAGATTTTCATATTTGGTTCTCAAAATGTTGTTAAAACTCAATTGGAATATTCTGTGTACTGACTGTTCAACATGTAACAAATGAGCTCCTGGAAATGGCATGGTTAGTAGAAAAAGATATTGTGCAGGAAAGAAAAGCAATAATAATAAATATTAATAAAATATACATACCAGTTTTTCAAAATTGACAAGATTATCCAGAAATGTTTTATTTCCTTCATGAATAAATGTTACATCTGTAAGTTAAAAATAAAAGAAATATATGCCATTAGGAATGGATCATGAAGCAGGCTAAAGAGCTAAGAAACAATGCAACACAGGAATTCTTCTAACAAGATTATTCCATGCATTTGGCATGGCATGTTGAAACTGAATCTATTGTGCTACTTGATGTGAAAGTATGTAATTTGTGTGTGTGTATGTGTGTGTGTGTAGTATAATACAAATATAAAAACATATAATAACACGAAATACATATAATGTACATATATGTAATCTCAAACAACATAATATCAATATACAACCATATCAAAAGCACATATTTTATGCACATAGTGAAGTATTTGACTTCAATCTGTTTGGTTTAAGAAACTTAAACCTTTATGCTTATAGAACAGTTGAGTAGAATACTCACAAAAACCATTATTTTAACATTAATGTGTTGGCTAAAAGACAAATCCTGGAAATGTATATGCGACTTGCTTTTTTAAAAACTGATTTAGATTTCTTAAATCTATGTTTAAATGGGAATTTTTTATTCCCCAAACTGGTGCCTGATTGTGTATCAGAAGTAAGTAAGGAGAGAAACAAATTGAAAAAGGTGGTGTTCCCAGCCCTATTTATAGAAAGAATAAGGAAAATAGGATGAAAGTACATTTTTGGAAGAAGCTGAGTTTGGTTTCAATTCACTAGGTTCAAAGTAACTGAGGAGCCTGGGGTAGAGCTGAGTGATCGATTGCGTGTTCAGCCCACGTGAGGCCCTTGGTTCCCTCTTCATCACCAGGAGAAAAGAGAGAGAGAGAGAGAGAGACTGAAGCTATTCAATTAAAAATGTCCTTCTGGCACAAAAGACAAAAACATGCCTCCTTAGGACATAGATATCTGGGAATTAGACATGTTAAAGATAGCAACTGAAGCTCTGAGAGCAAATGATGTGCAGGAAGCCAGCCTACAAGGTCTATAACTGAGCACTAGACAAGGAGCCCTGTGATAAGTACACTGTAACTTAAAGGGATGCAAATATTCACATTCTGTCACAAACGTGGAAAGCAACCAAATAAAACCAGCCTTAAAAAAATCATATGAACCTGACAGAAAAGAGAGAAAAGACAGCTTGAAAACTCCCACAAATAGAGACCATATTTGCATTTACTTGCTCTACTCCCTAGGGGCTAATATATGACAGGTGCTAAGGAGACATGCTCCAAAACACTGGGCCACCAAGCATCAAGACTGTCTTCCTGACAGCAACAACAGAGACATGGCCACCACACACACCTGTACAACTCTTCCCCCAAGACGTTCCCTATAACCAACTTCCAGGATGGCCTGCCATGTTTTCATAAGTCCCTTCCCTTCTTTTTCTCTTTTAAACCAATGTCTGCATAGGAAAATGATTCCCAATTAGCCACACGATCCGACAAACCCTCTGGTTATTTTTATTATCTTTCGCAGTTTTGTTTTCAGGAACTAGTTGTAAGCTTTCATGTTGTGACATAATATTTAGAAAAGAGTTGTCCACGCCGGGCGCCGGTGGCTCACACCTGTAATCCTAGCTACTCAGGAGGCTGAGATCTGAGGATCGCGGTTCAAAGCCAGCCCGGGCAGGAGAGACCGTGAGACTCCTATCTCCAATAAACCACCAGAAAACCGGAAGTGGCGCTGTAGCTCAAGTGGTAGAGCGCTCGCCTTGAGCTGAAGAGCTGAGGGACAGCGCCCAGGCCCAGAGTTCAAGCCCCACGACCGACAAAAAAAAAAAAAAAAAAAGAAAAGAGTTGTCCCCAGGGTTTGCTTTTACAATTTGTATGTATCAAATATAATATGGCAACACTGTCTTCCTTAAACACAGCCTGAAAGCTTGGCTTCTACTCTTTCAGGGACAACTCCAGATTATAAGCCATCTCTCAGAGTTGCTTGGTTCCTTGCCACACTGTGAACAAGGTTTTCCACCCTCCTGCCCTCCAAGTTCCTATAGTGAAAATAATGTCAGTTGTAGTTTGCATCAACCCATCCAACCCTCACAAAAGCCCTAAGGGGCATGCATGTGAAGATACCAGGATGAGGAGGGCATCCATAACTGAGTAAGCTCCCAGCTACAAGAGCAGAGCCAAGAGTCAAACCCAGGGAGGCTGAACTTCCTCAATGTGGTACCTCTCAGGAACTGAAAGTTGAGTAAACTTGGGCTTATCTTGCTTCCAGTTCCAGACAACCTACTGCCTGCTGGGTATCAGTTATCTCTCCACTTTGGATGTGTTTCCATCAGCACTCCTTGTCTGTATTCCTGCCCGTCTTCCATCTCTCCTGAGTGTAACTTTCCACACTAGTGGAGGGCAGCAGTCTGGATGCTGTTCTTGCTTGACAATTGGACTAATGCTGGGGTGGGCACTAAACCGGGGTGGTGAGGAGGAAGTTAGGGAGAAAAGGCTGAGGGGCTAACTATGGTGCCAGAGTCTGGCAGGGGCTCCAGCTGTAGGAGGGGTGTCAAGTGGTTGAAGGTTTTGATGTGGTTGAATGGCAGGTGCATGATAAGAAAAATGAGAGACAAGACAGGAATAGGTGAGCTTAAAAACTGAGATATGGAAATTTATGACTTGGAATCTGATCCCTATTACCCAGAAATATGTAGACACGCTTTAAACACCTCATAAAATAGAGCTGCTGGTTATAAGGACATAGTTTGCAGAGATGGCCAGTGGTAGAGGAAGAAACACAAAGGCACCTCAACATCCCTTTCCTTCAAATACCTCATGAACGTACCACAAATATCTCTAATACACACACACACACACACACACACACACACACACACACACACACACACACACACACACACACACACACACACACACACACACACACACACACACACCCTACAGGGCCCTCAGTTAACACTCAACCACCTCCTCACTATCCACTCTAATACAAGGGATCACCATCACCAAAAGTCAGCTTGCCCAGACGCTGCTAATACGAAGGCCTCCCATTGATAACTCTCAGAAACTCTCAGTAGGGGCAAGGAGGAGGGGGACTCAACTTTGGAGGCAGAAATACAATTGCTAGAAAGGTCTTCAGGTAATCCACTCACTTGATAAGTTGCCTGCTTACTGGGAACCATTTTAAAAAGTGGAACGTGGAAAGCTTATCCTTTTTCTAAACACATTCAATTTTGTCCTGTTTGCTAATTTAAAAGCAACACAAAGTAGATGGTATAAAAGAGGGAAGAAAAGAATTTTCACTGGAAATTAAGGTAGGTGCTGTACAACAGTTGGTGTTATGCCTTTAAAATAATTACTTAAAAAAACAGAAGAATTACAGTTGTGTATTCTTTCTTCCTCTCTCCTTCCTTCCTCCCCCTTTCTCTTTCTCTCTCTTTCTTTCCTTTCTGGTGCCAGCATTGGAGCTTGAAGTCAGGATCTTGAACACTCTGTTGGTTTGCTTGCTCACAGTTGGCACCCTACCATTCCAGTCCAAAGATTTTTGGTGATGCTAGGTCTTGACTCTGTGACTTTGAATATGCTAGGCAAGTGCTATAATCATACACCAACCATAGCCTTGTTCTTTAGGAAAAAGAGACATGTAACTCTTAGCCAACAGAAAGGTCTAGGTAAATTCAGATCCAAGCTAAGATGTACATAGGAGACATTTGGAGGGGAAGATCCTCTGATAAACAACAGAAAGCTCCTACCCTACCTCTTTTAAGTTAAAGGGATTCTGTAAGATACATTACCTTAAAAGAATTTACTGTTTAAATTTTTTTCTGACCCAAAATCAATCCTTTCCTATATCTGTCCTCATTTCCTATAGTTCCTTGTGGTGCCTAAATGATTCTATGTGCTACCATTCACGTTCCAGCTAAAGGCATTTCATTTTACAAATTAAAACAATGAGCTTGACTAAACTTACCTTAAAAACAAATAAATACAAGAAGCTCAAATGAACTTTGAAATTGTTATGCTAGTGTTGCAGCCTCTCCTTATTTCCTTTATTTGTATTTAACAGGCACTCTTGGGTTTGAAGGAGGCATCCTGTGCGCCTCAGAACTGTCCTAACACCACTTCCTTGTTTCATAGGGGCTCTGGCTCCACACTAGGTGAAGACCCCAGGAGAGAGCCCAGGCTGGTAACACCAGCTGCATGCCAGTGGGGGTTGGCCATAGGAGAGATGCAGAAGGATGGCCAGGCCAGCTCGAGTTACCGTTCCCAGGCAGCTCATTCCCACAATTATAGTTATGGGTGCAGTCACATTACCCTGAAATAGCAAAGGCTGGATGAAGAACTCTTACAAAGCCCCTTGAAAGAATTAAAATATGGTCGAGAAAAATTTGTAAATCCCCGTTTTCCTAGGCAGCACACTGGTAAAGACGCACACAGAGTGTTGGGACCTCAGGCCGGATCCCAAAGAGCTCCTTTTCAGTAATGCTCAGGTTTTATAAGACAGACCACAGAGATATCAGTAAGCGTAGCTGCCATCTTTCCTGATGACTTCTACGTGCTCTACACGAGAGGCCGGTGGTGTACCTTGGAGCTGTTAGATACTTTCCTAATTGGATTTCACTTCTTGAAAACATAAAGTACCCTCTGTACCAGTGACTTTTCACACACTATACTGACTTGTCATCTAAAGAAATCCACATCATGTAGTGGGTTGTCTCTGAAATGCAGGATGGAAATATGGAGTGCGAATATCACTATTAGGTTCCTTACACCAGCCTTATTCTTGTTTGAAATAAGTATATGGTTGACTCAAAGAACATAATGCAGGTTAAGAAACAAAGTAAATTAAAAACATTGAAAGTTTCCAGTGCTGCTGGGTGCTGGTGGTTCATGCCTGTATTCTTAGCTACTCAAAAGGCTGAGATGTGAGAATTGAGGTTTGAAGTCATCCTGGACAGGAGATTTTTTTTATCTCCAATTAAGCAGCAAAAAGCTGGAAGTGGAGCTGTGGTTCAAGTGGTAGAGTGTCAGTTTTCAGAGAAAAAGCTAAAGCACAGCACCTAGGCCCTGAATTCAAGCCCTAGTATCAGCACACATGAGAAACAAACAAACGAATATTGGTTTGTAATGTCAAAATTATTGTAAAGACAGAAAACAGTAGTTTTCTGCCCTCCTTAGTTAGAAGGATATATTTCTACAAGACAACATTACAAGGCATAAAAGATAGGAAATCTTTACCTTTAAGTAGTAAGGGCATGAATGGGATTTTTGGTGGCTTCATCTTTTTGAATGCATCTCTGTAGGCTTTGTGATTTAGGGAAGGATCCTGCCAAACCAAGCAGATTACAAAGAAAATGAAAAAAAAATCAATGTGCTGTTGGAACAATTTGCTTTACAGTTTGAACATGATTTAGATATAGAGAGTTTCTTTCTGAGAATGAAGGAGATAAAGGTTTCCTAGGAGAATAAACTCACTAAATTAGGGCAGGGAATCTAGGTGATAAATGAAATGCAGGTTATTGGCTTACAATAAGGGGAAATGACTGTGGAAGAGAGACACCTTTTGATTGCCCATTATTTTCTTCAAATGGGTTCTTTAAGTACAGTTTACTCTACATAATTTCTATCATGAGGTAAGAGCAAAGCCTTTTGTTAGGTCCACTGCAAGGAAAAACTGTCCTTATAAAACATAGACAATGTAAAGAAACAAGAATACTGTCATTCTGCTAGAAAAAACTATAAACTTTGTGTCTAAAACAAGAAATAGTTTTAAAAAAAGGCAAACAGAATAATGTGCAAGAACTAATGGAACACTAAATTTATACTGATTACTTCTCTAGATGTGAAACAGACCATGAGCATGCTTTTACAGGGAGACAGGAAGGAGCATCGTCAACTTGCTTCACCCCCTAAAGAGCAAAGCAACATTCTCATCAATTTTTTCTTCTTTTTTCTTTTCCCTTTCCTCTCTTTTCTCAGTATCTCTCTTGTCAAATTACTCTAGACTCTGACCACTGAAACCAGAAGGAAACTGGACACTAGCAGTTAGTGTGAGGAGCGAGTCTGCTTTGCGTTAGGGTTAGACAATTACTTACTGTCAAACTTTCAAGTTCAGAGAAAAGTTTCTTAAACTTCCCAGGGATTTTCTAAAAAAATAAATAAAAAGTCACAGAGGTTAATTTATTTTGAGGATGCAGAGTTCACTGAGTTGCGCTTACTTCTGTTATATTTTTAAACATAAATACTTCTATCATCAGACTATCCTGATTGTTTCTCATGATGCAATTTTCATCATCTCCTTATTATATCAGGCCTTAGGAACACTGCTAAGAACAGCTCAAAGCCCCACTACTGGGGAATCTAGCTGGTTAGACATTGCACACACTAGTGGTCATTTAATAAAAACTTGAGATTGTTCTACATTTTACACTTGACAAATGTGCTCATCTTCTTAATGATCTTGCTGAGTGGGAAATAATCATGCTGGCTGATGTTTTCAAATAAATGACTTAATTATATTTCACCACAGAGGGATAAATGGTGATGGGCACAGAAAACTTAAGTGACGGGGCTTGTATGTATTTAATGGGCAGAGTCGCTGGACCGTTCCACCCAACCACATCTACAAATGGTGCCCCAGACTGCCTCTAATGTGAAGGAGAGGAAACCTGGCACCTTCACTCTGACCTAGGGACCCTCTGTGGAGGAGAACTCAGACTTGAAGTTGGTGTGAATTCTGACTCTTCCCCTTTCCAGCAGTGTGGTTTGGTGCATTGGTCCCTAAGCTCTCTGATCTCCAGCTGCACATACAGAGACTGGGTATGAAACAGATTCGGTCCATGAACACTAACAACGAGGTTCAAGAAGATGTTCAGATGTTCGTGAGATTGTCTGTTTCCAAAACAAATCGAAGTAATCAAACTTGTACATTATTTCCTTAGAATAACTTTTCAGTCCTTAATTCTGAATCTGGACTTAGTTTCTCACAGCAATTGGCCCGGTTAATCTGTTTTGACTTTTATGACTACTGGCAATTGTTCCTCTGAGCTGTATGACTTAGAAATCCAACCCCCAATGGCAATACAAACTCAGTGTGTCCAAAGTCAAAGTGATTTACATTTGAGCTATGCCTGATCACTGCCACCTTTATAAATATGGGAATGCTGCCATGTCCATTCACTTCTGTGGTTTCTTGTATTCCCTGTTTGGGACAGTGTCATCACTTTCATTTATCCATTCAGCAGATTCAGAGACCTGCGGTCACTCTGTTGGGTTGTCCATCTAGTCATTCTATAAGTTGCATGTATTCCCTCCACTTAGCCTCCCTGGTCCCAGGGCACTTGGTCAAAATTTCCTTACACACACACACACACACACACACACACACACTCTCTCTCTTCCAAGGGCCTACTATTTACCTGGTACTGATACAGTACCTAGTATATGGCAGGCAGGCTATATGAACACTAAATTAAACTTATGCTCCTCTCAATATTTGCAGACTAAAGTTTCTTTCAAGATTTAATTCAAATTCTACTTCCCGCAGATGCTTGCAAACTGTTTGTGTTCATACTGTTTGCTCAGATCAGCTATGGCGTCTGTCATGTCTCCTTTAACCTTAGAGGTATGTGAATGCCTTGGGATGTATGTGCTTAACCAGAGCAGGCAAGCTTTTCTGTTCTTTCCCTTTCCCGTTCCCTCCCTCTCTCCCTCCCTCCCGTCTTCTCTCCCTCCCTCTCTTTCTCTCCTCTCTCTCTCTCTTTCTCTCTCTCTCCCTCTCCCCCCCCTCTCTGTTTCACCTTTGAACCTCTTTAAGAAGCACTGACCCAGACCCTTAGGCCATTACAACACATTCCATTCAGAAATGGCCCCTGATTCAAAGAGCCATAAGAGAAATCAGTGGCAGGTTTTGCATCTGAGAGCACTATGAGACAAGGCCAAGGAGACCTGAGTCACACACAGGCTGGAGCACAAATGAGGAAGGTTAGAGTATCACAGAAGGAGAGAGAAATGGCATAGTAGCCAGTCAGCAGGAAAGGGAGGGTGAAGCAAACAAAGAGTAAAGGAAAGAGGGGATGGGCCACGGAGGGGAGGTAGTCTACCTCCTGTGTCAGGTTAAGTAAAGAAGTTCCCAGGTCTGGCATTTCATAACCCAAACAACCTTCATAAAACAAAGAGCAAAGCCAGAACTTGGGAGGCCTGAAACTCACTAAATTTTATATGGCCTCTTTAAGAAAAAAGCAATATGAAAGTTGCTTTGCTTTGGCAAATGTTACAATGTGTCCAGTGAACACACTGCCTGAACCACGCCACTGAGAGGCTCTGATGCTAAAATCTCCAACATCACAAGACTCATTTACTTCCTCACACAGACCTAGCTGAGAGAGGCCAGGCCAGACACAGCTGCAGCTGGAAGCAGGCAACCACACACACACACACACACACACACACACACACACACACACACACACACACACACACACACACACACACACGAGATGAGGTCAGTTGGGGAGTAGATACAATTTTTCTCTTTCATATATACTAGAGAACCATTTTAAAGACTACTGATAGAGATGTATCCTACCACCTTGACTTATTATTTTTTAACATTCTTACCTTGGGTATTACTTATCTCACTTAAGATATTCAAATCAATGTGTACTTATTTATTTACTCATACATAGTACTAGTGTGTTTAAACTCATGCTTGCTAGGCAGGCATTCTGCCTGCCACTTGAGCTGCATCCAGCTCTTTATGCTTTATGCATCTTCCATTTTTCTTTAGCCATCTTGACCCAAGATCCTCCTATTTACTACTCCTGGTAGCTGGGATGACAGGTGCACCCAACTTACTGGTTGAAATGGTGTCTCACTAACTGTGTCCCAGCTAGCCTCCAACTGCGATCCTTCCTACCTCCAACTTCTAAGTAAGTGGATTTATAGGTATCAGACACTGTACCCAGCTAAATGAATATATTTTAAATGAAAGCTTTCCCTGGAACATTTCAGTTTTTGCCCACACTTCCCATCCCCCTAGTGAAACCCCAAAGCTCACCTCCCAGGTTTGTGACAGCCGGCTGACAGAGGCAGTGTTGAGACCCATCACAATAGCAAAGAAAGAGTTCAGATTTCGCTGGGCTTTGCAGCTATGGAACAAAGGACAAAGAGGACATTTTGAGGAAACACTCCTTCAACCACAGAAATCACAAGAGATGAAGCAAAAAAAAAAAAAAAAAAAAAGACTCACCCAGGCATAGGCTCAGCCCAGGCATCCTTCCCCCTGCCATTTCTAACCTGCAAGAAATGGCTCCCAGCACTTGGGCTCTTCCTTCCTTCAGGAAATGGTCTGGGCTCCCGACCCTCCTGATAATTCACGAGATGCCTCCTCTCCTACAATGTATTTTAGACCCATCTGCAATTTCAACCGAAGACGTTGCGCACGTGCACACAATCGGAATGCTTTATTAAATGTCCATCTCTTCTCTACACTATGCTTGCTTGTGGAGCTTCTCTAGCTGGTATGCTGATCTTATTTTTTGACAATGAAGCCTCTCTCTCCGCAAGGGCCTAAGGTATTCCTTCTACTCTACTCAGACACTTTTTCCTTGCAGCCAGAAAAAAAAGGCATGCATATATTAAAATATGGCATATGTCATGGGGTTACTAGCCCACATTTTTCACTTCATAAAATTGAAGAAAAAAAAAGATCATGTAGATCACCCCATAAGGTTATGTGGCTTACAGAACTTCATTTGAGCAAGGGGATTAAAGTGAACAGCATACTACTGTCAAAGCCAGGAAAGGGGGCATGGCTTCATGTTAGCTAGAATTCTAGACACTTCTTTATCTAGACAGTGCTTGAAAACCACTTCTCTGAGGAAACATGTTTTGCAGGGTGGGCAAAGCAGGAGGGGAGGCACAGGAATGGAGGGAGGAAGCGTTAGAAAATTCAGTCATTACGTTCAATGTGCATTATGTAAAAACGGAAGTACATAACATAAGGGTAGGGATGAGAGTGGGGAAATAAGGGAAAACAATAGAAGAGGTGACACTGATCACTCATAACTGACTTATGGAATTGTAACTACTTTGTACAACGACTTAGTAATAACAATATAAAAAGTCAGTTAAAAAATTGAAAACTACTCCTCTGAGGTAAGGTTCTAAAATTAAGGCTAGCTGAGCACTGGCAGCTAGTAATACTAGCTACTTACGAGGCTGAGATCTGAGGACTGCAGTTCAAAGCCAGTCTAGGCAGAAAACACTGTGAGACTCTTAACCTATAACTAATGACCAAAAAGCTGGAAATGGAGCTGTGGCTCAAGTGGTAGAGTGTTAGCCTTGAGCAAAAAAGTTCAGGGACAGAACCCAGGCCTTGAACTCAAGCCCCAGTACTAGACACGCATACATACACACACACACACACACACACACACACACACACAAACACACATTCACTCACACATACACACAAACCACAAAAAACCAAAGTAAGATTAACAGTGCCCCACTTTGATTTTTTTTTCTTTTGGTCAGTCATGGGGCTTGAACTCAGAGGCTGGTGCTGTCTCTGAGCTCTTCTGTTCAAGGGTAGCACTCTACCACTTGGAGCCATAGCTTCCCTTCTAATTTTCTGGTAGTTAATTGAAATAAGAGTCTCATGGACTTTTCTGCCTGGGTTGGCTTTGAACCGCAATCCTCAGATCTCAGCCTCCCGAGTAGCTAGGATTATAGGTGTGAGCTACCAGTGTATGGTTCTTACTTTGATATTGAAACATGAAAACTATGAATATATTCAGCAGTGAGCAGAGCAGTACCCATCATGCATTACCGTCCTCAGAGGCAGCTCTTCAACACATTTCCACTAAAGTCTCAGAATTGGCTGAGCCTTCTTTTTCCAAGTAAATCCATGCTGTATTATGTACTACAGACTCTTCATTAATCATCGCTGATACATATATACATATACACATATATGAAACATACCTCCACTTCTAGTATTTGCTGGCTAGTTGGAGATAGAATCTTGCAGATATGTCTGCCCAGGCTGAACTTTCAGTATCAGACTTCAGACTCCTGAGTAACTAGGATTGTTGGTGTGAGCCTCTAGCACTAGGCTACATATTCCATATTTTGGTTATGTATTCTGCTTGTGTTGGCCTTTAAATTATTTTCAGTTTCTCCCTTATATAAAATGCTGTAACTTTATATATACTTTTACTATATAAGTGATTTTTAAAAAAAATATTGGACTTTCAGCTGTTATACTTTAAGGTAAAAGCTATGAGGCTATTAACTGAATTTTTTGGTTTCATTATGTTTTGGTTTTTTGAGGCAGGGTCTCTCTTTCTCTATAATCCAGGCTAGTCTTGAATTCACTTTCCTCTTACCTCAGCATGCTATGCTGGGATTATAAATAAGTGCTAGGATTAAAGACATACACTACCATTGCCCGGTTAAGATTTGTGGTATATCCTATAAACTTCTGTGCCTGTAAAGGTTGTAATTATTTCCAGTGACACTGGAAATTAGCTAGAATGTATAGTTTGGAGGCAGAGAAATGGTTAGGGATTTAGTAATACTACAAAGATAGCAAATGCTATGTTCTGGCAGGTTCGCCTGTCAAGACCAGACACTGCCCAGGCTTCCAGCTCCAGGGAAGAAGTTCTCTTCCCATGAAGAGATGCACTTAGGCAGGCACTACTGTCCTAGTGTGGAAGATCTTGACGTGTCCTATAGAGACCTCACTGTGGACCCACACTGGCATGTCCTATCCCCCTGAGATCTGCCAGATCCTGCCTCTGCCTGCAGTCTCCTGCCAGTCACGCGGCCCCACACCTCAGTCTTTTTGAGTGCTTCATCTGGTTTCTTGCCAAAATTCTTCTGGATGGGCCTTGCTTGGTATGTTCCACTGAGAGACTGCTCTGTGGCTTAGAGGTTGGCTTGTTTTTGAAAAACCACTGCTGCTAAAGGCTTTGGCACTAACTCTGTCTCCCTTCTGCCATTTATTTTCCTCATTCCACACCTTCTATCTCATTATAACAGACACTTGAACTGGTATCTCTTGACTTGATACTTTGAAATACCTGGCTCCTCTGATGAACACAGAATCTCCTTGTGGATGCCTCTTACCCCTGACACAGGCTTGAGTTCTCCCAGCTGGTGGAGGCTCTACTCAAATCAACCCCACCAGACAGCAGACCCCTCAATGAGGCTATAGTGCGTGTCGCCTTCACTTTTATATTCTGCCCATATCTGACTGCCTAATACAAAGACAAGCTGTGCACACACAGCATTTGCTGAATCTGAAGACCAAAACTTCCGAGTAAATGCTTTATTATTTGTCATGACAAAAACGGTAAGTATTCATTTTTTATTCAGCATCATTTAGCTATAATTTTGTTATAATTCTCATCTTTTTATCTTTGAGCTCCCCAAATATAATTTTCCTGGTCTGTATGGATTTTCAACACACACAGGCGCGTGCACGCGCGTGCCTACACACACACACACACACACACACACACACACACACACACACACACACACAGGAGAGAAAATTCCTGGATCTCTTTTTAATAAAAGAATTAATATAGCCCCAATTTCTGAGAAAGACAAATTGGCACAGATCAAATATTAGCTACTGTTCTGGTCTGGAATTTTGTTACCATGGATCATTCATTCTGTGATAACAGACTGTCAGACTAGACATTCTAGTCCAGCAGCCACTCTTTTGTCCCAGTGTGAGGAAATAAAACTCACTATCTCCACTGAGGTGGGGGATGGGGGTGGTGAGAAGGAGGGAGACATGAATATGCAAATAGGATGCCTTAGGCAGGAAAAACACTTCATGATTGTGGAAATTACTGTTTTCCCTTGGTTATTCCTCCTAGTGTGATTATAGGGAATTTAACTTTATGTTTCTGTTGGCATTCGATCCCAGGGGCTAAGATAGAGACCAGTGCCATAAATAATTCAAGAGCACGGTGCTATATGGAGAAGATGTGAATATATTTCATTTCCCTGAGGACAGAGATAATCTTATACCAAGAAGGGAGCTGGGTGGTGTCATTTACTCCTTAGAAAATTAATTTCCTATTTCTCTATGTAACTGGCATTGGTAAGAAAGCTTTTTTACTCAAAAGAGTCTCACCTTCAAGAATCTCACAGCCTATTTCAGAATGCATTGGGGAAAGGATCTAGAGGGGAGGGGTAGTATTCATCATAACAGCTAGCCAAGCTTTAGGCATATCTGTTGCTTCTTCTGCCTAATCACCCCAGACAGGTGCTGTCTCCATCTCTTGTCTCAGAAAATACAACATCTGCTTCCTTCTAGAGCTCCCTGGCCTACTGGGCAATCTCTGTGCTACTTCTTGCCTTCCTGAAGACAACTGTGATCCTATCAGTTTCTGGCCACAGACTTTCCAGTCAACTACACGCTGGATGCATCTGGAATTTCAGATCCTATATGGTTTGATCTTTTCTTCTTTTGCTGATCAGTCTCCCACAACTTCCTTACACTACCCCTCCTCAGAGCCAGAGCCACTGAGTTTGCCTTTCTTGCTCAAGGTTTGGATCTGTCTTCAAAATGCCTTCTACTCAGAGATGCTCCTCCAAATTCTTACCCATCAAATCCTACCTATAGCCCACATGAACCTTACCATGATCCTGCTTTCACTGGGGGCTAGTGGCTTACATCTATAATCCTAGCAACTTGGGAGTCTGAGATCTGAGGATCACGGTTCAAACCAGTCCAGGCAGACAAGTCTGTAAGACTCTTATCTCTCTAGTTAACTACCAAAAAAAACAGAAGTGGAAGTGTGGTTCAAGTGGTAAGGCACCAGCCTTGAGCAAGAAAGCCCAGGAACTGCACCCAGGGCCTGAATCAAGTCCCAGTACGGGCACCTCGCACCACACACACACATCCCTTCCTTCACCACTGTTTCCCTATCCCTTTCCCACACCCTAATTTTATGAGCTTTCCTTCCCTTAAAGCCCAGGATAGATGCAAATCTCATACAAGGACCCTTTCTCAATTCTTCACAACAGCAACAGTTGGATGTGTATAGGAGTACCCCTAGCAGATGGCAAGCTCCTCAAAGGTGGCAGGATTGAGTACACTTAGTCGGATTTCCCCACTCCACATTGCATAGATCTTCCCATACAATCAACCATCTATGTGTAGTTCCTGAAATATTACACTGAGAGGTACAGTCACCTCTCCATATCCACAGAGCCCACACCTGTAGATTCAAAGAGTCTCAGAGTGATGTGGTTAGACCATGATAGCTCTGCTATGTTAGAATGTACAAACTCTTATTATGATTCCCTAAATAATTCAGTAGAACAACTATTTGCACAGCATTGACACTATACTCAGTTGCACAGGTAATCTAGAGAAAAGGTATAGAAGAGGATGTGTGTACATTATTTGCAAATACTATGCTACTTTTTATATGGGACTTGGGCACCTATGGGTTTTGTTATCCATGAGGATCCTGAAATCAATTCCCCACAAACATCAACTATACTTGAACACTGTCTGTTATACACATGACTTAGGAAGACAAAAGAGAAATGAATTGTGAGGCATGCAAGGCAGAAGGAACTGGAGATTTTGATCTGTGCTGCGTGTTTCTATTATGTCCTGTCTTAAGGTACTCATCCCATGTTTTGAAAGAAGCTCACATCAAGTCACTAAAATTTCATTCTTTCAACGTTTATTGAGTCACTGCTGTTTACCATGTTCTGTACTAGGCTCCCGTTGTTTGAAAGCAAACAAAGCCCTGTGAAGAAGTCCTATATAAAAAGGCAAGTTTAATACAGAAACATTGAAAAAGTGGAAAGTGCATGTGTTACTTGACCCTGAATATGACAGTCAAGGATGATGTCTGGAAGAAACATCTCATTAAGGTACTGAAGAAGGTCCTATTTTGCTATATAACTGGAATTTGTAAGAAAGCTTTGCACTCAAGATTCTCACCTTCAAAAGTCAGTCCCCACAGCCTACTTCAGAACACATGATTGTGAGGAGAAAGCATTCGGCATAAAAGCTTGGTAGAAGTGGCCATGGTTGGCTGTTTATGCTTGGAGGATGAAAGGTTAGACTGGCCCTGCTCAGTAGAGGTACTCATAATGAATGAATCTGTCCATGTTCATGTTGTGGGCATCAAACAGCCTAGAGCACACTAGTTTCTATTCTTATTCCTATACATCATCTTCTCCCACTTTCTTGGCTTACTTACAGAGCAGCCAGCCATACCAAAGGCCTGCAGACTGCCTGCTCATTAGTTGTGTGCACAGAGCAGAGTGATTCAGTCTAGTATTTTGACATTTACTTTCAGATATAAATACTTCAAATGCAAAGACATAAATATTCAAAAACAGACCTTTTCAACCATTTGGTCACTTAATTCAATATTATACTTCTACATCCCAACTTTTCTTATCACAGGAATTAAAAAAAAAACCCTAATGTATTCTCTTCTCACGGATATGAGATAAACAGTGCTCTGCACCACAGACACTTACTGAGCTGCAATTTTGATGAATTTTTTCACCAGCTGCACTCGTTTGCCCAGCTGGCTGCAAAGCAGAATCTCTGTGGCCACCCAGAGCTGGACTTCATTACATCTCTGGAGCAAAAGGCTGAGGTTCACAGTGTGTTCCCCATTTCCTTGTCTGCTGAAGGTGAAGTAGATTAGCTCTTGCTGAAAACAAAAAAGGTATTCATGGTGGGGTTTATTTTTAAAGTCAGGATGGTGCATGATTGAGTCCATTTTTAAAGAGCTGTTCTCATATCATTAGTATATTAACAGAAAACAGGCTGAATAATCATGTATCAAATTTGAAATAACATCTTTAGTTTCAGAGATGCCTCATGCAATAATATTCACTTAGAATCTTCATGCAAAGTAAAATTTCAGAATATGAGGAAGGCTTATTTCTATGAAGATCTATGACTTTCATATAAATGAAAGTTTAAATCTGAAGTTTAAATCATGGGTCAAAAGGAGGTCCCACACACCTCAAAATAATTACATATAAATTGTGGAAGATGATCATCTTTGTTAAGGTGTACTTTATACCCAATGGTTATGGAATTTTAGTGTGCATCAGGACCTTTGCAGGAGGAAAGGCTAAAAAGAATTCTTGCCCCCTTTTTTGTGATAGGGCATCACTCTGTTGCTCAGGCTGGTTGATGTTCAGTGATGTTCCTTCTCCAGCCTCCCAAGTAACTACAACTATATGTAGGCAAGACCATGCCTGGCTCTGAACATCAGTAAGTCTATCAAATTTCCAGGTGGTACTAATGATGGTGGTTTGGGTATCTGCTCTTTGATAACCACTGATGTCAAAAGATATAGTCAAAATATAAACAGAAAGAAAACCTAGATGAAGGGTGGGAACCAGTAATTTACAAAAAAAGTGGGACCATTTAACTATTTATATAGATAATCACGCACAAAGTAACAGATGAGATTAGTTTGTTAGATTTGATTTTTGGGGGTATTTTTATAGAAGTAATCCACAGATTTCTCAATTTTACAGAATTCTCCACTGCATATGCAGCAACACCTTGCACGCTGCTAATAGTTCCAAAGACACTAGTCATTAGCCTGAATGAGTTCCCTATTTGTTCAAATTCAGATCATAATGTTGGAGTTTCTAAATGAGGAAAAATATGAAAAACTTTGGAAGACTTTCCAAATGAAACCTGAGTGTCTCTAAATTGGGAATAAAGTTCCCTCTCAGAAGAGAAGAACATGTTAGAACAAACAAATTCCACTACATGGCAAACAAATGCAGCATATGGTTACACAAGGCTGTAACATTTTTCATCTTCTGGTTCCCATGAGCCTTTCCATTGCCAAATTTACTCATTAATTGTGGCAGCATTGTCCTCCTAATCTATCATTTATAAATGTTATAATCCTTTCTAAAAGGAGAAATGAACATAGAAAAATTAAATATACCCAAAATTTATGAGTGATGTCATACAGTATGGTCTTAAATTTATGGAATGTTTTTAAGTAAAAGGAAGGATATACATATATATATTTCCATATACATAAATGTTTCTTATATAACTCTCATATACTTTATGGAAAGAAGTAGAAATATTAACATCAAAGGCAAAATTTGTCTTCAATCTCATTACAGCATTATATATATAGATACATATGTACATAAAATCATGTAAGTTATACACCCATATAAATGTGTATATACATGTTAAACCCCAGCATAGAATTGCTCTAGGAGTAAATAAAGCATGGTCACATATTCTTATTTCCCTAGGATGACCTTCAATATATCTCAAGTCCCCAGCTGTCTGGGGTCACAGCATCTTAGAATAACTAAACCACCATGCACGTATCTTCAGGAAGAATTCACAGTTAAAGCAGTCTTAGTGCTTTTATGCTTTCACTCCCTACTTACCTCATGAATTGAATTGAACAGACTCCAATCAAAATTCATTAATTCCAAAGCAAGATCCCAAGTGTTCATTCCCAGAATCCTCATGGGTCTTTGCTGTGATTCCTCATTTTCTGCAAGCGGGTTCTAAACAGCAGAGAGAAGTAAGAGGATCCTCAGTAATTGCCAAATGCTTTACAGTGAATTGGCTGTCTGTAGGAAGGTACTAGAAGCCTAGATTGGGAAAGTAATCTTTCCTGAGTGCACTTAGTATTTTCCCTGGTCTGTTCACCTTCGGCGAGTCAGCCAATGAAGGAAAGGGTCTTGGAAGCAGGAGAATGCGGTCAGATATGGCCCTGAGGTCATTTCTCCCCTCCCCCTCCAGCTCCCACACACCCACTCACAAACCTGATTATAAAACACTGCGCTGGCAGACAGCATAATGAAAATGAAAGCCCTGGAATCACTTTGGCTTCTGGTAAGAATTAATGTGCCAGCAGGGTAGTATAAAAACAAACAAAAGAAATGTCATAGTGCACTTCAATAAAGGCAGACATGGCTTTTACAGGAAATAGGTTTAACAAGTCTCATCCCAGACACACATTTACAAATGTTATTAAAATGCCCGAGAAAAGAAAAAAAAATTCTAACATGAAACAAAAAAATATAAAAGCTATCTCAATCCTAATCTCATAGTAGCTGATTATTTTATGTATTAACTATTTTTTTCCCTATATAAATGGGGCCTAGTCCCTATGAGGCTGGTGACTGGGCTTCCTTACAAATCTGGCATGAAATAATCAGAGGCCAAAGCAACCTTAAGTCTATCATCACTGTTAAAGTTATTAAAAATAATTTTGCACTTTCCCAAAATATTTGATGTTTTTCAATTAAAATATAAATTCTCTCACTCAAGGGGTTGAACAGTTAATGGCTTGGAAAGCAAAAGGGTAGGAATTTGCAGAAATAAATGTCATTGCAGGATAAAGGGAACATTTCAGATGCCAAGTGTTAATCCTTCCTTCTAGCCTGAAAAAAAACACGATTTGCATTTTTAAAAGCTTTGCAATTATGAAAACTTTCCTCATTAAAAAACACACAACAACAAGATGCAGGACCTTCCCGGAGCTGTCCCACAGAACTGATTCTTTCATGACAGGTCAAGGTACAAATTGCCTTTGCGACCCCAGGGCAGGATGCAGCCTGAAGGGCAGATGGCGCTGACTGGATGAAGGAGCTCATGAGTGCTGAAAGGAAGCGAGGGCTTCTCAGGGATGTATGTGTCAGCTAGAATGGAACATTACAACACAGACTCAAAAGGATGTCTCAACAGGAGGTAGAAAGTTCTACCAATCCCTGCTGGAAGGATTTGTTTATGTGTCTTTTTGTTCTTCTTCCATTTCCATCAATGTGCCCCTAATCCTAGTTCTGCCCTCTGTGCACTACCTGAGTCCAGAAATACTTCGTATTTCTCTGGATGGCTCTAAGTCCGGATTTCTAGGAAAACTCACTAATATATTGAAAGTACCAGTAAGTACAAGTGGTTTCACATATTATTCAATGTTCTATTTTAAAGGAAATCTGGGAATGAAATACCTAAATCTGCTTCTTCCAGGACATGTGAGATGGTGTTTAAAATCAGTGGGGAAAATATTTAGGACAGGATGTTTAGAGCACCCTTCACCACACTGCTTTGCTCCAAGACCTACTTTAGACTCCGAGACTGGCCCTGGTAAGGGGTAGACATGCGCTCCAAGAAACTTCATGAGAAGCTTGTGTGACCAAGGCAGGAGGGAGAGGGTCTCCACTACAAGGAACCCCACAGTAGCTATGATTATTAGATTGTTGTCCTCTGTGGGAGGAGTAAAACCAACCTCGCTGTTTACTCAAAAATGCTGCATAAGACCTAGTTTGTCCTGTTACACCAGTGTATAATTACACAGGACCTGTGCTGCTGATTGATAGCACAGGAAAGGCTGAAGCAAATGATTCCCTCTCCTTCCTCATTATCCACAAACGAAAAGAATGTGCAGGAGCTTCTGGGTCAAACATAGTGGGATTTAAAATCCTAGCACACTTGGCTGTTGGAAGTAAGAGCAAATTGCTCAGCCTTTCTGAACCTCACAGGATGACTGGGAGGGTTAAATGAGATACTATATGTAAATCACTCAACACATTCATGTCTGGTAATAAGTATAAACATAAATAGTAATTAAAATTACCATGATATACTGCAGATCATTTCATGGAAAATACTTTTATTAAGGCAATTTTTGTTAACCCATGGTCACCAAAAGGCTTCTTCAATTACATACACAAAAGGGGCCAGCTAGAAAGACCTACCTCACTGATGACTATTGAGAGAAGAAAAGTCTAGATGTTTCAATCACACTAAGCACACTCTTTCTTTAGATGATGGAGCTAGACTAGCCCTACCTTTCAGAAAACAATAACAAGACTGAAGTTATTTAGGTATAATAACAGTAGAAAAGACCCATCTATCCATAAATTTCTTAAAATTCAAAATGAAAATAGCTTGAAGGGTGAATTCCACATTTCCTCAAATACTTGTTCTTCAGCGGCATCTGGTATCTCGTGGTTAAGGACTCCATCTTACACAGGGAAGCCTGGCAATTAACTCCTTCTTCAAGGAAATGGAACATTAGAGTACATCATCAAGTTCACTGAATCGAAGGACAGTAAATCCAGCATGTGTTTCTCAACCTAATCTCTCAACAGAAATGGAATTAAAATTCCATGAGAAAGGAAGTCACTTGTCTCAAATCCCTTATTTCAAGGGATCAGATAAAAGCAAGGTTACACTAAGGAAGGGTTTAGAGTCTCAGGTTGGGCCTCATTTGAAAAGCAGTGATATCTTGCAAAAGTATCATTGGTGAGGGGAGGGAATAGTTAAATGTTCTTTTCCTTCCTTTTTCTCATTATAAAGTGTATGCAATACAGACACATATGCTCTCTGTCTCATGCTATGTCATACTACACACTTCCTTGAGACTACCAGCAAGAAGATCCATGAGGAGATGTGGCCCATAGACTTTGTAACTCCAGAACTATGAGCTAAAAAATATACTTCTTTTCCTTATAAAGTAAAAACAATGTGTAAAGACACACTGAACCTGACATCTGAGGCTAAGATCCTTACCAATGTATCAGCCAGGTCCTTCCGGTAGACACAGATCCGACTAGACGCCTCCAGAGATTTGGTAACGGCCAAGTCATTTGGCTGAAGCTCATGCTTTTCTTTATTTAAAAAATAGGTAAAAGAAAAAGAGTGATTAGAAATTCAAGTATACCCAGGCAGTCTATATAAAGAGTGAAAGTTGCCCAAGAAGAATATTTGAAAGTACAGAAACTAAGATTTAAGAGGAACAAACTCTGCGCCTTTTACAATGAAACCAGTTTTGTATCTTTTACAATGAGAACAATGGTACAAGAGATAGCACTGCTCAGCACCCACAGAGTGCGCCTTCCTGCTTTTTCCCTGTGATGTTTACTCATTCTTCAGAACACAGGACTTTTTAAGAGAAATTTTACTCATGACTCTCTCTCTAGAAAAACACACAGATTTCTAATTATTATTTAATATTCACAATTATTCACATATTCACAATTATTTGTACATTGACACATTTGTAATTATTCCATATAGGGTTTCACTATAAGCATTTACTCACTTATCACTATTGCTTATCTATGTCATGTTTAATTAATATGTAACAGCCCATTATATCATCAAATGGTTGCTCTATTGTTGACCATTTAATGGTTTTCTTTTTTTTTGCCATATAAATTAAGTAGCATGATATATATTAAGTACTGGGGCAGGGGCTAACATGTTAACAGGTGCTTGATAAATGGGTTCTATTATTGCAGCAGTAATAATATATTTTCCTAATGTCAACGTCCTTGTGCATAAATCCTTGTCTGCTTACAGACAGCTTTCTTCAGATAGTTTCTTAGTACGAAATTACTCAAAGGCAATGAATAGTTTTAAGGTTTTTGAACACAAGCTGCCGAATTACTTTCAATTCTTTATAAAAACAATCAATATATTGTTCCTAAATATAAATGCAAAGCTAGTAACTTGACCAATACTAATTATTACTTTTGGTAAGCTTGCTATTTTTGATAAAACTAAAAGAATGGCTCTCACTCCCTTCCTTCCTTCCTTCCTTCCTTCCTTCCTTCCTTCCTTCCTTCCTTCCTTCCTTCCTTCCTTCCCTCCCTTCCTTTCTTTCTTCCTTCTTTCCTTCCTTTCCTTTTTTAACTGATCCTGGGTTTTGAACTCAGGGCCTGGTGGACAGCTTTTTATGCTCAAGGCTAGCACACTACCACTTGAACCACAGATCCAATTCCAGCTTTTTGGTTGTTAACTGGAGATCAGAGTCTCATAGACTTTCCTGACTAGGCTGACTTCAAACCTTGGTCTTCAGATCTCAGTTTCCCAAGTAGCTATGATTATAAAAACACCCACAAAACCTCCAACATCTTAATCACTTTATGACAAAAAGGAAAAAAAACAGACCTCATTGTCATTTTTTTTTCTGAAAAAGCAATGAAACTGAAGAAAAATATATAACTAGATAAAGGAATACATTATTATCTCTGCTTATTTTTTTCTTAAGTAGAACATTATTATTTGGAAGATGTGGGCAGAAAGATTCTTTACAGAAAAAGAAGAAAGCTTTCAATGGATGTAAAATGATGACACATTTCCAAATGCATGGCAGGATTCACACAAGAAGCTGGTGTCCTATCAAGGGCTATTGATGGTCTGTGCACCCGAGACACCACTTCCCCTGCTGATGGGTCTAAAAGAATGTGAAAATGGTACTTCACAGTCACCAGATAGATACAGAGTGGGGAAAAAGAACCCATCAGTCAACAGATTCTCACGTGATTCGTGGTTGGCTACAGTCAGCTTCAGAGGGATATAGGTCATAGTCGTACAAAGCTCACATTAGTTCCTTCCTCTTGTCTGAATGGGGACCCACTCTCTGCGGTGGTACTATGTTGAGAAGCAAATGCTTGTTTTTGGTGAAGATTAAGTTTCTTAAAAATCATTAAGGTTTCTGGCCACTCAACAATTAAATATTATATATATAAATACCATGTATATGAAATACCTGAAATATATGACTAAAAATTGAACCACTCTGATTAAAATTATGGGGTTCACATGCTTTTCATATTCGTGCTCTTTTTTTCCCTAGGTAATTTTGGGGTCATTAGGGATTGAACCCAAAGCCTTACACTTCCTAGCCATGTGCTTTACCACAGGGTAACATTCCCAGCCTTACGTCATGGTTTTTGTTTGTTTGCTTGTTTTTTGTTTTGTTTTTTTGTGCCAGTATTGAGGCTAGAACTCAAGGCCTTCAGCTCTTGCTTGGTTTTTGCTGCTAAAAGCTGGTGAGCTAACATTTGAGCCATATCTCTACATCTGGCTTTTTGGTAGTTAATTAGAGATGAGTCTCACAGACTTTTCTGCCTGGGCTGGCTTTCAAATAGTGATCCTCAGATCTCAACCTCCTAAGTAGCTAGGATTACAGATGTGAGAGCTACCAGTGCCCAGCAGAATGATGTTTTAATAAGAGTTCTGAGAGTAGAGAGACCTCCCTTCATTAGGTCAAAGAGGAAAGTTTCTGTTTGTATATATACTTGACTGGCTGCAGGATTGTTCCATCAGCCTATGAGCCATGAAGCAGGCAGGGAGTAGTGTTCTGTTTAATAATACTTTAACATCACGGATATTCTGGGGTCTACCTTTCCCTGTAGAATGGTAACAAAGGACAAATGGGAATGCCATCTCTCTGTTCCTCTCCCCCGCTCGAGCCATCTCTGGCTGATTAGTTCACATAGTGCCCCCATTTTTCAACTACTGATGCTCAGTCACTTTCTTTGTGTTTTTCACAGGGTTAATGAGATATTAAATAAAGATTGTAGGCCCAAAAGGAGGCCAGTGACTTAGAGATCTGACAGGCCCCAGTGAAAACGAAAATGTCTGTTCAGGCTGCATAGATCAATAGTGTCAGCTTGTAATCTGTGATCTTATTCAAAACAGACAATAAACCTTTCTGGAAGGATGAATAAGGTCCAGCTGAGGGCGAGACTGTCACCGGGCCTCACTCTCTACATCCAGCTGAAGGAACACTGCCTTGTGAGCTTTGGCTTTTTGTAGTAGTTTCCTTTCTTCCAAAAGAGACTAAAAACTAAATTGTCAACTAGCAATATGACTAGTTCAAGGCCAACTTTCTCTTTTTTTTCCTACAGTAATTTCATCCTTTACCAATTTCCCAAGTTAATTTAAATATGAAAATGAAAGGCTTATCTAAAGTACAAAATAAGAAAAGCTTTATAATACATTTCAAAACTCTGGTGAGCCTCTCTATTCACTTCCTGGGTAGGAAATTCAGTATTCAAAGGTACCCTACTGTTGTCATGGAAACACCTCTGGTAGGCCAATTCTTATTGTTACTCTGGTCATCCAGCTGTGGGACCTGAAGGGAGGAGCAGCAGGTTTGCTCTCTCCTTTTGGAGGAGATCCAGTGAAAGATTAACAATCAAGGAAAGAAAATAATTTACCCCCAGAGAGCATGATGGCCACCAGAGCCAGATCCTCTTCTGCATGCTGAATCTTTTCTGCCACAACCTTCAGGATCTCTCGGGCTGTGCTAGAAACTTTTGCCTTCACACTGACATAGGAGTGCTCTGTGATATACACATGACAAAAAACTGCAAAAAAGTCAAAAGAAGTGTTTGTAAACAGAACTGTGGTCACCAGGGGCAAACTTCTCCAAACCAAGGTAACTCAGCTTGCTGTTTTCTTCTGTATAAAGTGCATTGCAGCTCCATGTAAACACATGCACACGAGGATCTGAAGAGTATGCTTGTAAACACAGCAGGCGTAGGCATCACAAAAAGCAGTTCGGTTTTCCACACAGCAAGGGGCCCCCAAGTCATGCCAGTGTGTGCTATATTTCTGAATCACTTCTCTGAGTTGTCAAGATCTCCCAAAGCAGCATATTAAAATGCTTCACTCATAAATTTTTATTTTATACTTCATTTCCAGATGGTCTCAATGGTTCAATCGTGAACAGCATATTTGCCATGAGAATTCTCATAAGCTTATCTAAAAATCTGTCCTCTGCTTTGGATTTTGTGTTTGGCTTTCTCAGTCATTTAAGAATGATCCCTCCTATCCCTCCACCCCCCACTCCATATCAAAGTGGTGATAAGTTCCAAGTTCCAAATGGAGGTTACATTTCTAGCCTTTTTAGTTTCCTTTTTATTGACTTAAAGGTGTTAATAATTATTACCAACACATTATCACTATCAGGGTGAATGAGTCCTGGAATTTTTTCTTTATGCTTTGAATAGCAGCAACAGTGTTAAGAGCACTGGATATCATCAACATACTGCTTCTTCACATTAGTTATTCTGGGTACATAAAACACTAGCTTCTGGCTTTTTTAGATTAAACAGAAGGACAATAGTATATTCAGACATCTTACTTTCTGTGAGGGAAAAAAAGCAGAGCTCATAGAGGAATTTTATGTGCAATTTAAGTGGCACCACAAAAATAAACCCAGGAATGTTTTCACAGAAATGCAAATGAAGTAAAAGCCAAAGCAGGAGTTGACAGGTATCTAGCCTCAGAGTAAACACTAACAGGAAGCACTTGACAGACTTTGTTTGGTTTAGTTGGGAGCATCACAAAAACAGTATCTTTTAACAAATAATTGCTTCATATTTTGTCAGCAGACTTGTAAGAGGAAAAAAATGCTTTCCTCTTTGCATAGAAAAATGAAATTTTTGAGCACAGCAAAGATCTGGCCTATAAATCACTAAATGTAGAGCCAGTTTATGGCGTGCTTAATAGACTGATGAACGAAGAGACTGGAGCCTTGAAATATTTAGTGTCTTCGAAGCTCAGCATGGAAAACTGCACAATTAAATTATAAGACAAATGGACAAGGGAGGTCAGCAATTAACGAATTAGGAGGGAAGGTAATTTCATTAGTTAGCTCTTTCACTTGGGGCAAATGACATATAATATGATACAACAAAATCCGCGTGTCAGTGGCATTATATACAAACACCACAAAGTAGAAGAGGAGAGCCTGTGACATTTTGGTGTTTTTTTAATGTTCAGAAAAGCTGAGCAAATATCAACTACCTATACTTTGAATTTGCACACATGGGGAAAGGTGAGGTGAAAGAGCGTCTCACAGTAACTTTAGCATGAATGATTAAATTTAGTTTCCTGGCTTAGCATTCTACTCAACCTTTATCCACACAGAAGGAGGCCACTATGACCCTTTAGATTCCTGAATAAAACAGAGAAGCATAAAGCATCATCACGGTACTTAAAAAAAGTCTTCGTTGACTAAATAAATGACCTTCTGCAAGGAGGCCAAGATCATTACCCACCAGCGACCTGAGGAAACAGTGTGGGACAACCTAGCCATACTCTCTTCCCTTCCTTCCTGATTTTCTCCAAGATTTTTTTTCTCAGTCTCTAGGACTAAGCCTGCACCTTGATTTTGGTGGCTTCTTTTAGTCAGGGGCAATGGGTAACAGAGGCAGGGAGAGGGACCTGGGAAAGGCTGAACTTCCAGTGTATTTTGCACCTCTACACAGATACAAAGGAGCTCTGAGCACTCTGCTTTCCTTGCTTCCCATGTTAAAAATATGCTTGGACCTTGGGTTAGGATTATCTGATCTGAGAAAACTAACAGTCAAAGCAAGGAAAGGAAAATCATCCTATTTGCTGCCAACATGCTTGTCAGAGGGGATGATGGATAGAAATGAAAGCTAGATGTAAATGGATATGCTCAGTAGGAGAGTGATGGCGACCTACTCCATCCCTGGCTTAACATCATACTCACTTTCCTCTGTTTCAGTCACAGTTCCTCTATGCTGGAGCCAGTTCTCCTTAAGACTGAATTGGTGGAAAAGGGCTTTATTCTGTGAGAAGGGAGAAAGAGAACAATGAATGAATGTTATTTCTGCCCTTTGGAAAACCACAGCCATTTACAACATGTTTCAAAAGAGCTAGCCAATTTTTCTTTTAATATGGAGTCTACTCATCCAATCTTAAAGAAATAAAAAGGGAGTTGCTGTAGTTAATGAATGTGGAGGTGGAGATTCTGGCCAAGGCAAGTGAGTAGCTAGCAAAAGGCCCCTGGAATTGTTTCTTGTAACTTGCTAGAGAATCGCCCCACATTGTCCAACTCTGGCTATGGATAAACATCCAAAGATTCTTCTCTTTTAAAAAGCCCCATTTCACCTTCCCAACATTATCATCCAAGTTCCAGTTACAACAATCTGAGCTTCTGCTTTTTACATTTTCCATACTACTGCTATAATATGATGACTTTCCTAAAGGAACTAGGTACATTGCTCTTTATGATGACTGGCCTTCTACAAAATTTGTCACTGATGGTCACTCCTGCAATTCCCCTCAGCAAGTTAAAGGGAACACACCATCAAGCTTGCTACTGGCTTTCTTATTTCTCCTTATAACACTTCCCTACCTCTTGGGGTCAAGATTCATTATGTGGTTTCTTTTTTCCATCAGGGACATGAACATTTTAAAATAAAAATATACCACAAAATATGCTACTGTCATAAAGTCAAGGGCATATGTAAAATGTGATTTGTGGCAGCATAAGGAAACTCCAGCACAGCAGCAAGGCACTGGTAAGAGCTGCCTTGGGCTTCCCTGCTTCACTCTGTCCTGCATTAGGTAGTGTTCAATGAAAATATGCACAAATCAGTCAGGCAGGGCAAGATCTTCAGGGTGAATCACTCCATTTCTGAAATTCAGAAGGGTCTGCCTACCTTCCTCTGTGGTGAATACTCATCCACCGTGCTGAAAGAAGAAGACAAGAAATCAGTCATTGTCTTGTCATAGAAGACTAATCTTCAGGAACTCTTCAACATACAGAAACAAAATATTCATTTTTCAAAAATAAAATATGCAATTTTAATAAGGTTTCATATAAGAAATATATCTTACTAAATAATTGGGCAGAAGTATAAAATACTTTTTTTTTTTGGTGCTGGCACTGGGGGGTTTGTAATCAGAATCTCAATATTATCCCTGAGCTTCTTTACTCAAAGCTAGTGGTCTATCACTTGAGATCAGCTGTACTTCAGGCTTTTTGATGGTTAATTGGAGGTAAGAGTCTCATGGACTTTCCTGCCTTAACTGACTTCCAACCACAATCCTCAGATTTCATTCTCCTGAATAGCTAAGATTATAGGTGTGAGCCCCCAGCACTCCACCAAGAATACTTTTTAAAATTATTTTACTTTATATTATTTTGGGGGGCTGGAACTTGGGTTTTAATTCAGGGCCTCACAAACTCAGTTGGCTTTTAAGCTCAAGGCTAGTACTCTACTATTACAGGTACACCTCCACTTCTAAGAATGCTTTTATTTTTATTAAATTTTTAAAGGACAAGCTTTGAATAGGGCTGGAGGCATGGCTTTAACTGTTAGAGTACTTGCCTAGCATGCACACAGACCTTGAGTTCATTACCATCAACAATAAAAGTTACAGAAAATAAAGTTTAAAAAAGGTTTTAAATTCAGCATGTCAGTTTGAGTACGATGCGTCTTGATCAACGTTGCCCCTTCCATCAGCCCCCTCAATATATTTCAGCCCCACCCATCCCCTCATGTTTCCTAGTTCAATTTTATATACATATGCATTGAATACTGTGATTTTACTTGTTCACCCTTCCTCTCTCCATTGTCTGCCCTTCTCCCCTTTGTCCTACCCTCCTCAGACAAGACATGTTTCAGCTTCCTGGTATTCACTTTAAAACACAATATTCATTAATATACTATTTAGAACATACTTGCTATTGGTTTCTGAATTTCAAATGAACCAGGAAGAAAAGCTACCTGTTACCCAGGTATATTGTGCTTTCCATTCACTCACAGAAAGGGAAATCAAGGCATGAAAAAAAAAATTTAGAAGTGTAGTCCACAAGACGAAGTTTGGTGGCTTTCTTTCTCTTTAATGAGTAGCAATATTTAGTACAGAGAAATGTTTTCTCATACAGTGTTAAACTTTAGGTGAAATTATAGATGGCTAAGTATCTCAGCAACCTACCAAGAATGTTTCTCTAGGGAGCATTCTCACTGCTGAATGGCTTCTAAAAGCTACCTCTCCATTCACCAAAAAACCTGCCCTGGGGCTGTTTGCATGCATTAAGTTATCATAAAGTACAGGTACAATCTTATTTCTCAGAAAGAAAAGAAAAATGTGATAATCACAGCACTTGGGGCTCAAATCTTTTCTATCATCTAAAGGCATTTCATTCTTTTATGTAAAAGAAGCAACATTCATGTCCCAATTTTTCTTTCTTTTTATGTAGTACTAGGGATTGAATCCAGAGTCTTCAGAATGCTAGACTGAACTATACCTCTAACCCCAATATATTTTAATAGCATTTCCTTATATTAAGGTGTTATTTTCCATTCTAAGAAGAATAGAATTATTAAGTTCCATTGATGTATCAATTTATTTATTGGTGATACTACTGGAGTCTGAATTATAGGCAGACATTCTGTTCATCACTTGAGCCACACCTCTCATCTTTTCTATTTTGATTTTTTTGTTTGCTTGTTTTTGAGACAGAGTCTTGCTTTGTTTCCAGGCCATCCTGGACCACAATCCTCTTATGTATGCTTCCTACTGTATCTGGGATGACAGGTGTTCACTACCATCCCCAGCCTTTTCTGTTGAGAAGTGTTTTGTGAATTTTTTGCCCAGGAGGGCCTCCAACTTCCTTCCTTCCACTCTCAATCTTTCAAGCAGCTACAGACTAAAGGCATGAAGCCATTGTGCCTGACTTTCACTGATGCATTTAAGTTATTGAGACATAGTAAACCATGGATTAGTTTTTCCACTATAACAGGTTTATTTTACAGAAGCGAGTAACTTCCATATGAGAGATTATTTTGATCTAATATTACCTTTTGTTCTCTTCTTTGTTTCATTTACTAGTTTATATTTTCCATATTAATTTCAGACTACATATTAATTCCCATATTAATTTAGACTATAGAGATTTAAAATAACATAGATTACGATCTTTAAAATACCAATACAATTGTCTAATACATTGTTCTAACCTGCAGCTGAGGTTTAAACTATTTTTTTGTGTGTGTGCCAGTCCTGGGGTTTGAGTTTAGGACGTAAGTACTGTCACTGAGCTTTTGTGCTCAAGGTTAGTACTCTGCCACTTGAGCTACAGCTCTACTTTCAGATTTTTGGTGTTAAATGGAGATAAAAGTCTCATGGACTTTCTTGTGGGAGCTGGATTTGAACCACAAACATCAGATCTTAGCCTCCTGAAAAGTTAGGATTACAGGTATGAGTCATCAACTTCTTTATGTGAAATCTGATTATTTAGAACTAAAGTTTACACATGGTTTTCCTGTTCCTCAAGATTACTTACAAAGATTTTTTTTTTTCATTTGCAATGGCGATTCCCTAAAAATAAATAAGGCTTAAAAATCTCAAGTCATTAGTCAGTAGGCCTGATTTTTCTATGAAAATTGTATATATGATGGCTGAAACTTTAATAAACATTTTCCTAACAACAATACACATAACTCATTTCGACTAAGCATAAACCATCACATTGTAAATTAGAGAACTTTTTCCTTAGGATGAACTCTTCCAATTCTGAATCTGAAAATCAGTAATGACTTTATACTCTCATTTATCAAAATAAGTATGGAGAGTTGGTAGTGAAACACAGGAAAATCTGGTGTTACCAATCTGAAGATTAACAAGAGATTAATGGGACATTTGGACATGCCAAAAGTCACTGAGTACATGGCTTTCTTCAATTTTTCTGAATTGATATGAAAATCTAAGAGAGCTCATAAAATTGAGCATTTGAAGTGCTCTGTGACTCACTGGAGCCTAGTTAAAAAATTTCTTCTTTTAACCCCCTATTCTCTAGAGATTTCTGTGAAATTCAAAATTACCAACTAAACATATGGATTTAAAATTAAATAATAATTTATTATGCAATTATTTATAGGCCAGCAGATGGTTAGGGCTCACAAAATGGTAAAAGAAATAGTTAATGAGCTTGTTAACTTGTGGAGGAAAAAGGTACATAATTCACTACTAGAAAAACGAAGGGATCCAGAAGAATCTAGAGTTAAAGCATTCAAAATCATTATAGGTGAAACATCCCAAACCCTCCTGTTTTCTGCTGCATTCATTAACTAACTGCTATAAGAAATTCAGGTACTCACTGACGGCGATGCATTCCCAGTATCTTTTGAAATTCTTTCAATTCTTTTTCCAGTATGGGATATTCATAGACATCATCCAGTACATTTCTGTATATGGTCTGCAGGAAAAGACAAAGAACAGCTGAAATGGTTTAGTGTCTTCTTTGCAAGGATTAAAACTAAGATTTGCAGCTGGGAGCCGGTGGCTTATGCTTGTAATCCTAGCTACCCAGGAGGTTGAGACCTGAGGATCGTGGTTCAAAACCAGCCTAGGTAGGAAAGTCCATGAGGCTCTCATCTCCAATTAATCATCAGAAAACCAGAAGTGGCGCTGTGGCTCAAGTAGTAGACTGCTAGCCTTGAGCTGAAGAGCTGAAGGACAGTGCCCAGCCCCAGAGTTCAAGTCCCACAACTGACAAAACAACAACAACAACAACAACAACAAAACAAGTAAGATTGGCCTGGAGAGGGGAGCTCAATGGTCAAGCTCATGCTTAGCATTTGTGAAACTTTGAGTTCACCCCACAGCACAAGCAGCAACAAACACAACATCATCCTGTTCAAGCAAATAAAGTGGAATCTAGGACAACATAGGGGTTTAATCTTAGCCGTGTATCAACTGGCTTTTGAGCTGATTTTAGAAGCCGTGGATAAGGGAATCCTGGAGAGTGATCCCTGGCTGGCTACTTGAGATTTCCTTGCCTAGTTTTTATTTTTTTTATTTTTTTTTTTGTCAGTCGTGGGGCTTGAACTCTGGGCCTGGGCGCTGTCCCTCAGCTCTTCAGCTCAAGGCGAGCGCTCTACCACTTGAGCTACAGCGCCACTTCCGGTTTTCTGGTGGTTTATTCGAGATCGGAGTCTCACGGTCTCTCCTGCCCGGGCTGGCTTTGAACCGCGATCCTCAGATCTCAGCCTCCTGAGTAGCTAGGATTACAGGCGTGAGCCACCAGCGCCCGGCTTTCCTTGCCTAGTTTTTAATCTTAACAAAACAATATTCACACAATCACTTGGGAGAAAAAGTATCATTTAATCAGCTACTTTGAACATATGGTTCTAGACAAAGTATTAGACAAGTTTTTAACTGGATATCAAAATGAAGTCTGAGTGTTAAGTGCAAATTATTTCCTTCACAAGTCAGATTTGGTGTAGTACCTTGGTTGTCCTAAAATGGACCTCTTGCTTTTGAGAATTTTATTCCACTACTTCTTTGTTAGTCTGCAAATAGGGCTTTTGTGACTAAAGAAAGCCAAACTCCTACATTCCAGAGAAGTGTCTGAATTGAAAATGTATCACGGCCTATTAATAATTAATCACTTTGTTTAATTTAAAATGTACTGTTATATAATGTACATATCAATATAATTTTAAATGATGTTTTATCCATATGTTGTATCTATCTATAGTTACAGTAAATCTCAACATTTTAAACAGCATTAAATCTTTTTGTCATTCTGTTTTTTCTCTTGTTCTAGTACTGAGGTTCGAACTCAGGACATCATGCTCTTGTTTGGGTTTCTTTTTTCTTTTCTTTGGCCAGTCCTGGGGCTTTGATTGTGGACCTGGGCATTTTCCCTGAGCTTCTTTTGCTCAAGGCTAACGCTCTACCACTTGAGCACAGCACCACTTCTGGCTTTTTCTGTGTATCTGGCACTGAGGAATCGAACCCAGGGCTTCATGCATACAAGGCAAGCACTCTACCACTAAGCCATATTCCCAGCCCTTGTTTGGCTTTCTTATTCAAGGCTAGCCATTCTACCACTTGAGCCACACCTCCACTTGCAGCTTTTTGCTGGTTAACTGGAAATAAGAGTTGCATAGATTTTTCTGCCCTGTCTGCCTTTTAACTATCATCCTCAGATCTCAGCTAGGAATACAGGTGCAAGCCACTAGTGCCTGGCTAACCATAACATCAATTCTTAAAATATAGATTTTTTTAACTTCCTTATTTATCTCAATTGTAATTAAAGTCCCATGACTAATAGAAACTAAATATCTTTTTAAATGGAAATATTTAAAAATATTGAGTATTTAAAATATTTAAAAATTAGGTTTCTATCTTTGTAGAGAATATCAGGCCTCAAATCTAAATGAATCTGCTCATTTTGAATTAAAACTTGATTATAAAGGAAAGTTGAGGGCTGAGAAAGGTGGCTCAGTGGTAGAGTGCTTGCCTTGCATGCATGAGACCCTGGGTTTGATTCTGCAGCACCACATAAGCAGAAAAAGCCAGAAGTCGTGCTGTTGCTCAAGTGGTAGAGCAGTAGTCTTGAGCTGAAGAGCTAAGGCCCCACAATCAACAAGAACAACAAAAAAAGTTGAGTAACTGTTACCTACAAATGGGATTTTTCAACTGTATAACAAAATAAAGCAGTTATTTGACATCAAAGAATATCTGGAAGTGCTAGATTACCTTTAAAAATATTTTTGAATGTTCATCTTCATGGAGCCAGTCTTTGTACAGAGAAATCCACTGGGAAACAAGATGTAAGACTTTACGTTTCCGACATGGTGCCTCTGAGTTTTCTTCCTTGCCTTGATACTTCTTAGCAGAATAAGTGCAAATGGTTAAGGAAGAACATTGTTGGAAGAAAAATTAGGAAGAGATCAATTTATCCTGCTCTTTACAAACTAGGTTAAAGCATGTTTTCCAAAGAATCTATAAGCATATAAACATGAAGGAAGAACTTCAGGCGTAAAGAGAGCAAAAGGTCTGCACTGAAAAGAACAAAAGCAAACCCAGAAGATGAATGTAGCATCCTCAGTGGGAGACCAAAGGGTTAAGGACTGGACCATCATACTGGCAGCTGCTGACAAAGTCCACCAGGCAGCATGGGTTTAGTGTCAGTTAAAAGAGAAATGAGATGTCCCATTGATAGGATCTGGCCTTACTACATAGGTAAATAGTATTTCAATGAAAGATTAGGAGGACAGATATTCTCTGATCCTCAGATATTCACATTTTTTGTATAACCAGTTACTTCTAAAGTAGTTTCAAAGGAGCACAGATTCCTGGAGCCCAATTTGTGATATGACTCAAATCCCTCTACCCCCCCCCCCCCGCCCCCACCAGCTAGGAATACTTGGGGGAAAAAAAAGAATTAGCTAAGTTCGTGTGTGGTGGATCACACCTGTAATCCTAGCACTTGGGAGACTAAGGCAGGAGGATCATGAATTCAGATTAGCCTGGGCTACATAGCAAGACTCTGTCTCAAAGATAAAGAACATTGCACATTTTCATTTTCATTAAAATTAAATTTAAATATTTCAACAACAGAGCTGGGAAGGTGGCTCAGTGGTAGAGTGCTTGCCTTGCATGCATGAGGCCCTGGGTTCAATTCTTCAACACCACATAAGCAGAAAAAGCCAGAAGTGTTGCTGAGGCTCAAGTGGTAGAGTGCTATCCTTGAGCTGAAGAGCTGAGGGACAGAGCCCAGGCACAGAGTTCAGGCCCCACAACCAACAATTAAAAAAAAAAAAAGCATGCACTGACATGGAACATTCACAATTACCACTGATGGGGGAAAAACAAGTAAGGAAAAAAAGCATGGCTTTCTTGCTGATGGCTGGCATTCTACCACTTGAGCTACACCTGAGTTCAGCTTTTATTTGCTGGTTAATTGTAGATGCAATCTCATTGACTATTCTGCCTGGGCTGACTTGAACTGCAATCCTTAGATCTCAGACTCCTGAGTAGCTAGTATTACAGGCAAGTGTCACTTACTTCTGGCCATAAACTATTTCTGTTAAGAATGGTAGCAGTGGCTCACACCTGTAATCCTAGCTACTCAGGAGGCTGAGATCTGAGGATCATAGTTTGAAGACAGCCCAAGCAGAAAAAGTCCACGAGACCCTTATCTCCAGTAAACTAGAAGAAAGCTGGAAGTGGAAGTATGGCTCAAGTGGTGGACACTACCCTGGAGCAAAAAGCTCAGGGACGGCATCCAAGCCCTGACTTCAAGCCCCAGTATCTGCATAATAACAATAACAAATAATAACATAAATAAAAGTGCTTACTTAACTAGGAATAAGTTTAGAATTTTCTAATGGACCTATCTTTTTATCAAATCCACCAAAATGGGTATTTCTAAGCATCTGGAATGGAAATTCAGTCTTAACTGGGAATGTCAAACACTGTGACCACAAACACTGATAGGACTGGCAAGCTGTTCAACAGAATTAGATGTTCTTTAATGCTGATAAATAAGTGCAAAGTAGAAATGATTTAATTTTTTTTTTTTTTTTGGTCCAGTCGTGGGGCCTGAACTCTGGGCCTGGGCGCTATCCCTCAGCTCTTCAGCTGAAGGCTAGCGCTCTACCACTTGAGCCACAGCGCCACTTCCGGCTTTTTTGTTTTTGCTTATGTGGTGCTGGGGAATCGAACCCAGGGCTGCAGGCATGCAAGGCAAGCGCTCTACCACTGAGTCACCTTCCCAGCCCAAGAAATGATTTATACATCAGACTTTGTAAATATTTTAAGATATAATACAATCCTGTAAGAATACGCTGTGACCATCTTTTAATTTCCATCTATGAAATAAGATCAAGGAAACATATACACACACAAACCATTATATAGTCTAGCTTAGTTTTTCTCTTGAAAGGAAAAAAAAGTAAGGATGCATTCTACATAATTTCCATTTATGCAATTGTTGCTTTTTTTCCTTTTCCTGTGCATATAATGGCCTCACTAAGGTAAAGAAAAAAGTCTGGAAAATTGTGAAATACCAACAGCCAGTACATGCAGGTTCTACAACTATAGACAAGTTGACTAAGGCAATTTCAGGGACTGATAGTTCAATCATTCATCCTCACTGATAGTGAAATTAGTTTGCTTAACCATGATCTTTCCTCTGGAAAGATGCTTATTTCTAAAATATTTACTGATTACAGTTTTACTGTTTTGTTCTCCTATACCAAGGTATATAGTTCTTTTTACATTGTGTCACCACTAAACTATACTGATGTATAAATTTAGCTTGGGGAAGGTATTGGGTGAGAGTTAGAACTTCTGTGCAATGAACTGGATATTAGTTGGCCCAGGGCTATGAGCTTAAATAATGTGTATGATGACAAACACTGAAAGATGTAGAATCTTATGCAATGTAATCACTGACCTAAGACATTCAAAACTAGCAGAAATGGCTATAATGCATAAATAATGTTTAAGGATTATGAGAGGAATCAAAACAGAACAAAATCATTTGCACACCTCCTTAGAAGTTAGTAAGTAGTGGGGTATTAAAGCCATCAAATAAAGTTGCCATATTTTGTGTTTGGTTTATATTATGTAAGATGTAAACATAAAGAACCAGTCAACATAGAAATGTTTAAGATGTTTCAGATTTCATTGATTTTGATAATCAGTAAACAGATTGCTAAGAATCTGAGTTAAATTTTCATATAAAATGTCTTAAAGACTAAAATCATATTGGTGTCCCAAAGAATTTTTAGAGGCTCTTTAGGAACATCTGAAGAAACATTAAATCATTAAATGATAGTAAAAGGTAACATTAGCATCAAAATTAAAGACAGTTGTTTGAAAGCAATTTACTATCTGAACACATTTATTACACTTTAATAAAGAGTAATTACTTTTTGAAAGGTTGGAATTCAAATTTAGATAAAGCTAACCATAGAGCAATCCATTTTCCTAGACATTTTTTATGTGGGCTAGTATAGAGTCTTCAGTTTGTCTTATTAAAACCATAAAGGTTTTCTTAAAAATTTATTAAATGCCTAAAGCCTTTAATTAATTTGCTTTTGTTATTACCAATAACAAATTGTTAATTAAGCCTAAATTAATTTATTAAGTACTTCATTGCTTTTTTAAATTAATTATTTATTTATTTATTTTTGTCAGTCATGGGCCTGAACTCTGGGCCTGGGCACTATCCCTCAGCTCTTCAGCTCAAGGCTAGCACTCTACCACGTGAGCCACAGCACCACTTCTGGCTTTTTCTGCTTATGTGGTGCTGAAGAATCAAACCCAGGGCCTCATACATGCAAGGCAAGCACTCTACCACTGAACCACCTTCCCAGCCCACTTCATTGCTTTTGAAGCATCTTGTTTCAATCAGTTGAGGCAAGAAGCCCATGTGGAGAGTTTCAATGATATGTAGTTTTGCTCTCTGGCCTTTTGATGTTTCCATGTGACATCTCTTCTAGTTAGTAGGGAAAATATACAGCTTCCCTACTGGTTATTAACCTTCTAATCCCATCCATCATACTAAGAAAGCATGCAGTGGCCAAACTCTGAAAAGATGGGAGCTGATTACAAGGGTGAATTTAGACCTCTCATGTAGAGGAATGCCTTACATTCCCAGAGACACTTCCACAGGAGTCCGACATCACATATTTACATACATTTTCCTGCACAAGTGATTGGATTCTGACTCTCCTTTAAGGCTACTAATTGTGTGATAACTGACAATCCATTCATTGTCTTCACTCTGAGGGTAGGCCATTCACCTCCAGATTTCAAAGTAATGGTGAGAAACAAAACTAAAATAGCCATGATGTACGGTACCATTTACCATGTCACCAAATGTAAAAATAGCCATTCTGCATTTATAGTTCCCCCTCTATTCTGTATCATTTCATCCATTACCTTGAATATCACATTATATTACTATTTAGCATATCCACGCTCTATCATGGGCAGAGTATATTAAGGAAAGCAGTTGATTCCTGATGTGGGGCATCTGTGTGAGGGGAAGCTGACGTTGCATCCTGAAGTTAATGAAGGATATTGTCTTAACAGCGCCTGGCACAAGTCATCAGTTGTCATGAAGACTGTGTACGTGAGGAGGAAATCATCAAGGAGGGTCTCTGCAAAGAACGAAAACAAATACAAGGTAAGCAAAGAAGCAACCCCAAAGGGCAATAAGATCTCCGATCCCTAAATACTGAGCAGAAACACAAAAAATAATGGTGGTAAAGGGAAAGGTAAGAATAGAATTTAGCCACAAAATCCATTGTTTACTAAAGATCTGAAAAATTCTCATTTTCTTTTTCTTACAATGTTCTCTTAACAACTCATCTCTATTTCTTCTTGCTAAAACATCATGTATATTTGGGGGTAGAGATGTTATGAAAAATCAATGCATAAATAATGTGCTAAAAAATAATATTTTAAGCCGGGTGCTGGTGGCTCATGCCTGTAATCCTAGCTACTCAAGAGGCTGAGATCTGAGGATCGAGGTTCAAAGCCAGCCCAGGCAGGAAAGTCCGTGAGACTATTATCTCCAATAAACCACTAGAAAACTAGAGGTGGTGCTATGGCTCAAGCGGTAGAGTGCTGGCCTTGAGCTGAAGAGTGCAGGTACAGCACCCAAGCCCAGAGTTCAAGCCCCATGACCAACCAAAAACACAAAAACAAATATATATATATATATATAAATATAAATAAAAAAATATATATATATAAAAAATATATATATATAACATAAGAGTTCCAAGATATATACTCCAGTATTAAAGGGAATAAAGCCTTCCTATTCTGATAAACGAGGTCTTTCCAAAGCTATTTACTTTCATCTAGGGCCAGAACAATGGAGAGCAAAATCCTAGGAGACAGACATACATCAAGTCCCAAGGCAGTATCTCTTGGAAGTTTGAGGGAGGGAGTGAAATTCAGTGGAAGAGTAGATGCAAACATGAGGCCATAGATCCCATCTTCTGAACTACAAAAAAAATGAAGCTGGGAAAGTAACACACTGTGGTTTTTTGTTTTTACTACATGAAAAGAGACTAAGTTGAGTCCAGCTACAATTACAGAACAGCAATCATGCTCCCTCTTAATTCTTTTCTTTTTCCTACTAACAAAATCAGGTTCATTTTTTATCACCTCTGTGTCTGGATTATTCTTGGCCAAGCCCGTCTGACATGTAATAAGGAGCTGCCAAACAGGTAGACTCCGGCCTACAATGTAATTTCCAAAACAATAGAAAATGATGAAGTAAACTGCAGAGGAACCTGACACAGTTGTCTCTGGCTAGTCTTCTTTAGGATTCATTTTACAGTATGATTTACTTTCTGTATGTTTTACATTCTGGACACAAAAGTTTGTTTTTTTTTAAATTTAATTTTATTTTATTTGTGAACATACTGTACAGAGGGGTTACAATTACATGGGCAGGATAATGCATACATTTCTTACCAAGCATTGCAGCCTCCTCCTTTGTTTACCCTTCACATCCCTTCCCAGCCTCCCCCCTCCCCCCCAATCCCAATCCTTCCCCCCCCCCCCCACACCGACGTTGTAAAGCTCGTTTTGGACATGACAACTTGTACTTGTACTTCTCATTGTTGCAACAGGTCTACCTGTATCCTTAAACAACTGGTTTTCCCCAACTGGACACAAAAGTTTTAGTTGTATGAAACAATAATAAAACTATAGAGATACAGTGATTATACACTCCTAGAGTGAGTGTCTCCCTCTTTACTACTTCATAAATTGAAACTTCACCCCTAATTGGATTAGATTAGGAGTGAAGGATTTGAAGGATTAGATGAAGTCGCGTGAGTGGATCTAGTGAAGGGGCTTAGTGTCCTTGTAAGAATCCTGTGAATACTTGCTTTTCCATCTACTCTGTGAGGACATTGTGCAATGGCTGCAATTCATGAGCCCTGGGTCCAGCCCTCACCAGACGTTCTGCTAGCCCCTAGATCTGGGACTTCTCAGCCTCCTGGTGAGAAATAAGTAGATGTTAGTCATTTATAAGCCAACTATTCGGTGTTATTCTGATATAGCAGCCTGGGCAAAGACATATACCCAAGTGTAGACTTCATAAATATGTAGTTTCAAATAGTTGCCTAGTACAGAGTTGTATGTCTCCATGGTGAAGACTGAGAGAAAAAGGCTAGACTTTTGAGTCACATAGTCATTTCTTTCTACTGAATAAGGTGATCAGTGCAAACAGAGCATACACTTATGAATGCTGAAGTCTTATAAAAGTGTTCTAGCTGGCATCTACAGCCCCACATCAGCTGTAGGGACTGATTTAGTTGGTTTTTGCTGTATTTGTCTGTTTTGTTTGGTAACAGAATACTAAGATAATTCTGATCTATATTAGGTGAGTGATTCCAAGTAACAATGTGTAAAAAAAGTCTTATTTTCAATTGCAAAATGTTGCTAGATGCTAGTGACTCAACATCTGTAATCCTAGCTACTCGGAAGTTCACATATGAAGATCCTGGGTCAAAGATTGCCTGGCCAGAAAAGTTTGTGAGTTTTTTGTTTGTTTTGTTTTGTTTTGGTCGGTCATAGGGCTTGAACTCTGGGTCTGGGCACTGTCCCTGAGCTCTTCAGCTCAAGTTGAGAGCTCTATCATTTGAGCCAAAGTACCACTTCCGGTTTTCTGGTGGTTAATTGGAGAAAAAAGTCTCATGGACTTTACTGCCTGGGCTGGCTTTGAACCAGGATCCTCAGATCTCAGCTTCCTGAGTAGCTAGTATTACAGGCGTGAGCCACCAGTACCCAGCTGTCTGTGAGTTTTTTTGTCTGAAATTAAGCAGCAGTGGAGGTAGAAGTGGAGGTACAGCTTAAGTGGTAGAGTGCCAACCTCGAGTGAAAAGCCAAGTGGAGGACAAAGCACTGAGTTCAAGTCCGAGTACTTGCATATGCAAACAATGCAACACACACACACACACACACACACACACACACACACACACACACACATACACTGTAAGATGTGGTTAATTAAAGCAAACCAGGGGTGTTAATAAAGAGCATGATGAAATTTTGTCAAAGATATTTATAAGCAACAGTTTTGTTTTTATTTTTGTTTTGTTTATTGGTGGGGAAGGGCAGTCCTAGGGCTTGAGCACAGGGTCAGGGCACTGACACTGGGCTGAGCTGTTTTACTCAAGGCTAGCACTCTACCACTTGAGTCATAGCTCCACTTTTGGCTTTTGGTGGTTAGCTGGAGATAAGAGTCTCAGACTTTCCTTCCTGGTTGGCTCTGAACTGTGATCCTCAGATCTTAGCCTCCTAAGTAGCTAGGATTACAGGCATGAGCCACCAGCACCCAGAGTAACAGTATTTTTTTTTTTTTTATCAAAGAATAAATCTGACAAATGTCACCTAAAATGTACAGTAAGCCTAGACTTACAGTGTTTCTTACATTGCAATGCACCAGCAAATCACTAGGTCTAACTTTCTTTAAAAGATCTTCAAATATGCGTAGGTATTAAGTTTAGTGTGGGAAAACTGAAGTGTATAACTGATCACACAACAAATAGCTTACATTTGTGGAAGATCCAGAATGTCCCCAGTAAAGTTACTGTTTACGTAAGTTTCAAATACATGCACAAAAAAGGTAAGAAAAGCTTTAGTGTAAGATCTGCCCCCAAACTGGTTAACGAGTACAAATGAATGACAGAATATAATAATGAAAAACTTGGGGATATACAGTTGTGTTTTTTTAAAGATAGTTTTAATTAAAATTAAGCAAGTGCACAATCTCTGAAAATCTAAAATATTCTGGAAACACAACAAGAAAGCTAGCACTTTGGGATGCTATTGGACAATAATATGCCTATAAATGTCTTCCATAAAATTCCACTGTGCTAAATATGGTTGATGAAAGTATCAATATATCTGGTCTGATCAGAAATTAGAAAGTTTTGTAGGTCATGTTAGACACAGGCAGTAAGGACAACACAGTAGATTAGAATTTACTTTGGGATCTTCACCATGAGCTACCAATACAGAGAAACCACTACACTGAATGACATCACTGAGTCCCTGACATGGTATGTATTAAAAGTGCCTGATATGACAGACAGGTTCAAATATTCTTACACTTAGCTGCATTTAATGAGGTTGGGACTATTCTCTAATCAAGATTTAGCCCATTAGTAGCTGAGATTAAAAAGAAACCATTAACTTAGACATAACCATCCATCCCATGCCGGAACAATCTTAGATAATGAACTGAGTAACAATGAGAATCAGGTTGGATGGTGGCAAACCTATTTGGCATTCAATTCAATTAATTAGCTCACATATCATAATATTTTGTGAAGGTCTTTGACCCAGAAATGCTTATTTTCCCCTAAGCTACCATCATATTTAATATTCAGCAGCAGTTCCCTAATTATCTCTGTCATAGAAATATTAAAATAAATACAATGAAATTACATAAAAACATCTTCAGTTAAAATCCCAAGTAGCAAAGTTAAAAAATTCTAATAAATAGTACACCATTCCCAACATTCCTAAATCCAGTCTTTCTTTTTTTAATACTACATTGTTCTGGAAAATTTCCTTCTCTATAACAAGCTTTCCTTTATTATCATTTCAGCACTGATAATTCTTCTGCCAAAGATTCTGCAAGTAATTGAATGATATGAATAAAAAAGGTATAATCAAAATGATGTGCTTCAAATAGGAGTGCATTTTATTTATAATAGCTGTGCTTCAAAAAAGGCTGTACCATTGGTATTGAGAAATATTTTTAGAACCACAATGGCTATGTGAATGATCCCCTGAAGACTATTAGCTAACAATAGCCATTTAGAAAAACTAGCAAATCCACTGGCATCCATACTGAGACACTATAATTATCTATTATATGACATAGTACTTAATTAATAGTAATTTAAGACTAGGCAGAAAAGCACTTGTGTGTACATAATAGCATCTTTCATTGAAGCAAATCCACAGTTGCCATATATACTAACACACTGTTAAAGAAATGCATTCCTTTTTATTTTCCAACTGTGAATTCCCAGGTATTAGTATACAAAGAAAACTTTTTTTAAAATTTCTATTCATTAGATCGACTCTCAAATTCTTGACTCATCATTAAGCTTTTATGAAC